CTGCCTGCAGCGTGGTTAGTGTGACTGCCTCCCCATAGACCCTCGGGGCTTCCAGCTGACCTTGCTCTCTGTTAGGTGCACTGCATGGATGATGTCTGTGGCCTCCTGCCCTTCCTAAACCCAGAGATTCCTGACCAATTCTACCGCCTGTGGCTCTCCCTCTTCCTCCACGCTGGGTAAGTCTCACTGCAAAAACAAACCAGTGTCTGACACTGTCATGTGGGGGGTGGGGGGAAGGTGTCGGTGTCTGGGTATGGTACTCATTGGTTTCCTGTGGGGGTTGGGGAGTGGTTATCCCTGCTTGGTTGTGTTACAGGCAGTGCTCAGCAGGGGGCCAGTATCCTCTGCACCTCAAATAAGTTACAAATATTTCATGTCCTTGGCCCAGGTGCTCGCTGGGGCCATGGACTGAAGTGCATGCAGGAGGCAGGCCAGAGGCCACGGGTGAGCCTGGGGCAGGGATTACAGAGCAGGACTGCACAGGACTTTAGTAGCTGCTGCCTCAGCTCTGGTGTTCTTCTGATTTGGTAGGATCCTGCACTGCCTGGTTTCAGTCTGTTTCCAGATGACCATCCTGCGAGACCTGGAAAAGCTGGCAGGCTGGCATCGCATCTCCATCATCTATCTGCTCAGCGGCATCACTGGGAACCTGGCCAGTGCAATATTCTTGCCCTACAGAGCGGAGGTAGGTCTCTGGCAGGCGAGCAGGCCCAGTTACCTGCTGAGAGCACTGAATTCTACATCACCCAGCCCTGGCACAGCCCAGACTGGGGACCCTAGATTGGCCCAGCTCCTCCTTTGTGGACACCACTTGGATGAGGAGCGGGATGACAGCTCCTGGCGCTTCAGCCTCCACTGCCACTTTTGTCATGGGCCATCTCTGCATCTCTCTGGCCTATGAGGCAGAGGGCAGCACTATTGACCAGTGACCAACCCTCTGAGGGTCTCGCCCTTTCAGGACATGGCCCCAAGAAACAGGAGTGAGGCCGGGCCCTGCCCACAGTCCTGAGGAGGCAGTGAGATGCCCAGCACGATAAGGAGCCCATCTTGAGTTAGCTTAGTGCAGGGGCCCAGACCCCTGACAGACCTGAGACTGAGAGCTCCATAGCTAATGTCCAAGAGCCGTTGCACCACCGCTGTAGCACTTGAGTGAAGATGCTCCTATGCTGATGGGAGAGCTTCTCCATCTCCCCGAGAGGCAGTAGCTTTGTTGATGGGAGAATCTCCCGGTGACATAGTGCTGTCTACGCTGGGGGTTTGGTCGGTATAACTAGGTCCCTCAGGGGTGTGGATTTTTCATATCCTTGAGCGATGTAGTTAGACTGATATGGGTCTGTATTGTAGAACTGGCCTTAAACAGAATCCCAGCAATGGGAGTTGCTGCTTCTACCACCTAGGGGCTCTGTCTCCAGAACTACCCAGCCAGGCATGGCCCTCTCTTTACCCCTGAAAATGAGCTTGAGCATGTTTGTACTGCAGGTAGGAGCAATATGCCTGCACTCTTCCACAAATGGTCACTGCCTTTAGGCTGCTGGCTATGGGTAGGCCCTGATCTTAAAAGGCTTTGAGTGTTCCCATGGCAAGGAAAAAGGGGCAGACAACTAAAACAGCCTGTCATGGCAGGAGAAGCACATACAACATTACTCCCACACCTTCCTCCACCCCTGCCTCACTGCTCCCATCCTGTATCCAGCAGCTGAAGTCGTATCGTGCTCCCAGCTGATGTCCTGATGCATTTTAGAAGAATGGTAGAGCCTAGAACAGTGATACTCAGACTGAGGCTCGCAAGCAGCAAGTGGTTCTTTAATGTGTTTCCTGGGGCTCTTTGCAGCACATGACATTAAAACACTGGTTAATAACTTAGATTGGTTAATAATTAAAATCACACAACCAGGATGTTTTACTATGTTAACGAACTGTAGTTGATAATAATATACTTGGTCAGTCATTCTGCTGTGAGAATATATAGCACTATAATAAATGAAACAATGAATTCACACTACTGTGGCTCTTTTGGGTAATGCCGATAGCTAATTTGGCTCCTGAACCACGGAGGCCTGAGTATCACTGGCCTAGAGGATACCGTCTATTCCTCACCACTGGATACTGGTATCTAGCTTGGGCTGTATAGCATGCTTGTTGCTTGAATGCTACCATACAAGAGTGAGGGCTGACTCAAACTGGCAGAAGGCCTGATGCAGATACTTCTCCTCCCCCCCCCCCCCCCCCCCCCCCGCCCAAGTAGAAAATGGCTCCCCTGGTAGCTGTTGACTCAGAATGAGGCAGCTCCTCAGTGTCACTGACATGGAGCATTCCAGTGGCTGGTAGCAAGAGAGAGACCTCTGTGAAGCTGAGACCCGGCAGGAGCAATCAATAGCAGGGTTGGTTTGGTCTGTCTCACTGTAACTTGTGTCATCCTTCTCCTGCAGGTGGGCCCTGCAGGATCCCAGTTTGGAATCCTGGCCTGTCTCTTTGTGGAACTTTTCCAGAGCTGGCAGATCTTGGCACGGCCATGGAGGGCCTTCTTCAAGCTGTTGGCAGTGGTGCTCTTCCTCTTTGCCTTTGGCCTCCTGCCTTGGATTGATAACTTTGCCCACATTTCGGGATTCATCAGTGGCCTCTTCTTGTCCTTTGCCTTTCTGCCCTACATTAGCTTTGGGAAATTTGATTTATATCGGAAGCGATGCCAGATTATAGTGTTCCAGCTCATCTTCATTGGACTCTTCTCAGGACTGGTGATTCTGTTCTATTTCTATCCGATCAAGTGTGAATGGTGTGAGTTCCTCACATGTATTCCATTCACAGACAAGTTCTGCGAGAAATATGATCTAGACGCACAGCTTCATTGAAAGGCGAAGACTGGCTTCTCGAGCAGGTCCTGGAGTTGGATTGTCTTTGCAGCTGCTGGGCCAGTTCCACATGGACAAAACCTCTCATCCTGTGACACATCTAACCCTGACCATGGTTAATTTAAACTGTTTTGTCAGCACTTGGCAGACCTATTTTGCCTTATCTCAGAAGATCTGCACATTTTCTGAAAACAGAACAATTGTGCCTTGTTCAATTTATTGAACCTTTTCTGCTGCCATATTTTTATTACAGTACTTTAATACTACATTTTTAACCAGATTTGTTTACTACTGCTAAGGTGGTGATTAAATGGAAAAGTAGCGTTTTAGCTACTGTTAACTATTCTGCACAGTCTATGGCTACATTTGTTTGAATGTGCTTAGGATAAAGCAATCTCAGGTGCCTACTGGCCACATCCTTTCCCTCGGGCTGCAACATTAGGTTCCATGTCTTAGGGTTTCACAGTCCCAGCAGGATGATTCGACTTTACTGTTTTGTAGTAGTTGCCATAATGAATTCTCTATGGCAGTTTACAGGCTCACCATTTTGTAGGCTAAGCCTTGAGCCTGTGACAGTTGGACAAGCCTTACATGCCCCACCTGGTGATGGCTCTTTATGTGAAATCAGTGTGATAAGTATCATCAGCTGCTTGTTGCTAGACTCACCAGTACTCATGGTGAACCATGTCAATTTGCTCCCTTCACCTTAATTGCCCTGTATCGACTTGCCTGCAGTACAAAACCCAGGATCTCTGCCAATCTGACCCCAAATATGGTGATCAGTTAGACACTGAGCATGTGGGCAAGACCCACCAGCCAGACACTTGGGAAAGAATTCTCTGTGGTAACTCAGAGCCTGTCCCATCACTAGCCCTGGGCATTTCTATTTTTTTGTTGGGTTGGCACAACTGATTAAAAAGGGACCTATTCAGTCCTCAAAGAGTCCTAAAGCTCTTTTAATGTCCTGTTTCTCTCTAGTTCCTTCTGTACCTTATGAACTTCTGTCCTCTCCTCTTTACTAGGCTATAGAGCAAAGGTCCCCAAACTGTGGGGCTTGAATGACTGTTTGGGGGGGGGGGGGGGGGAGACGACAGCTGGGGCTCAGGCCAACCCCCATGGGGAGTGGCATCCAGCTGCTGGCCCTGTGCCCAGGGCTCCACCCCCCCAGCAAGGGGGAAACAGAGGTAAGAGGGGGTATGATCCTGATAAGTTTGGGGGCCACTGCTATAGAGCATCCCTGTTAACAGTTCCTCCCCTAAGGGATGTCTCTCTCTGAACCTGTTGGCCATCCCCCAGCCCTTAGTTTAACAACTCCTCTACAACCTTTTTAATTTTACATACCAGCAGTCTGGTTCCATTGTGGTTTCGTTGGAGCCCATCCTTCTTGTATAGGCTCCTCCTTTCCGAAAAGGTTCCCCAGTTCCTAATAAATCTAAAATCCTCCTCCCTACACTATGGTCTCATCTGCACATTGAGCCCCTGCAGTTCTAACTGGCCCTGCGTGTGGAATTGGAAGCACTTCAGAGAATGCTACCATAGATATCCTGGACTTTAGAGGTTTTCTAGCAAGGTGGCACAGCTGGGTGGGAACCTTCACAGAGAATTCTTCCAAAATGTTTAAATTCTCATAGTTGATTGGGTAGTGATTCAGTTGCTGTAGGAACAGGATGAATATTGACCAGTATAGGTCCTGATCCTATACGCCTTCTACTCCTCCTTCAAACCCATCACACCATCTTTATTAAATTTATTTAAACACACATAGGCTGCCATTCTGCAACATGGAGCTGCTGCCTCATCTTGTTTTATAGGTGCCAGTTCCTCATTCCGAGGCCATCACAGCCTGCCTATCTCACTAAGGGAGCAAGCTCCTTGAGGTAGGGCAGTACAAAAGCAACAAATGCCTTAGTTTTCCATACAGGCCAGTCCTCTGACTACATGCGTGCTCTCTAGCTGCTGTTGGTCTGATTCCCATCTTCTGGGCTCAAGGCCTCATGCCACTATTTATGGCTTCTTAGAGGCAATGCTCTACGCTTTCACCATATCCATTTTTTAAGCTAGCAGTAGCTCAAGATCAATACCGCCTCTCTGTGGTCTGGACTGCTTCAGTGTCTATGTCCTCATGACCAAAGTCTGGTCAAGACAGCTGTGTAAATTATTAGGCTTAGTCCTTTATTTGTGGTTGTGCCTATGGTGGCATCAAGTTCCGGCAGACAGAACTTCAGAGGGCTCTGAAAAGCATCAAAATGCACCATTTGTCCTTCATAGCCAGGGCACAGCAAAAGCAAACACTAACCTATAAGAGAATTTTCATTGCCTCCTGCATTTGCTCTTTGAAATGCCACAAGTTTCTCTTCTGGAAAGATGCTGAATCTGCAGGCTGGTCCTGCTGCAGTAACAGCCTCGAGTTAGTCCTTTTCAGGCAGAGGGAATGCTGTGCCTGGAGCTGTAATCAAAGAGTTAGAAATTAAGATATTGCTACTGCCTCCACGATTTCCACAGGCCAGCTGGGCTGGCAAGTGACCTTGTGCACCAGCTGGGCACACTCAGAGTGGTATATGTTGCTGTGTTTTATTTATAGTTACAGGATGCTTGATTGTTCTAGGGTATCAGGCACAATGTTTCCTACATCAATTACTAGGAGCTTGGCATTTAAAAAAAATATCATGCAACCAAAACAAATTTTTGTAACTTGGTAACTAAAGTTTGGTACCTAGATGAGCAGCCTGGTGGTGCAGTGCTGCTGCTTCCTTTGGCATTTGGAAAACCAGTTCACTTTATTAGATGCAGGAATATGGATTCAGGTGCCTAACTTTAATCAACCAAGACTGACAGTTTTGGCCACCCTAGTTTAAATGCCAGCCAGACACTGGAATTGTTTAGTAAGCACACACCGTACACTTGTTACATTGTTGAAAATACTCATACTGTCTGAAAGCATTTTAACTATGTTAATGAAGATTTACGGTTGCCCAGCGGTGCACTGTGCCCTTACAGAACATTTAGTTCTACAAGTGGCACTGCATATTCCCACTTATGGGTACTGTGCCACCTTGTGTGCCTTTACTAACACCACTGCCCCTCAGTCTCCCCGAGGTACTGAAGGAGAGATTATAGAAGGGGGCGGAATGCCCTTCCCACCTCCCACCTCAGTTCCTTCCAATTGCATGCCTGAACAGATGTGAACGCTGGTCTCCTCAGAGCTAGAGTCTTGTTTCCTCCCAAAAAATCAGTGTTCCCTCATAGTGAGTAGTTAGGGTAGGAACCGAAAAAGTAAAGGAAGCTGGGGTTTAAAAGATGTGCTTGCTGCCCAGCAGTATTCTTAGTATCAGACACCCATGTACAGTACAGTAACTCCTTGCTTAATGTTGTAGTTATGTTCCTGAAAATGTGATTAAGTGAAATGATGTTAAGCGAATCCAATTTCCCCCTAAAAATTAATGTAAATGGGGGGTGGGGTTTAGGTTCCAGGGAAATTTTTTTCACCAGACAAAAGACTATTTTTTTTTATATATAGATATATATATACACACACACACTATAAGTTTTAAACAAACAATTTAATACTGTACACAGCAATGATGATTGTGAAGCTTGGTTGAGGTGGTGGAGTCAGAAAGTGGGATATTTCCCAGGGAATGGCTTACTGCTAAATGATGAACTAGTACTCCGCTGAGCCTTCAAGGGTTAACATGTTGTTAATGTAGCCTCACACTCTACAAGGCAGAACAAATGGAGAGAGGGGAGACCACATGGCAGACACCCTGTGTGAGAGAGAGATGTGCATTGCCCCCTTTTACGTTGATCAGCAAGTTGAGAGCAGCTGCTGTGACCAAGCTCCCTCTGCCCCCCCCACCCTCTTCTCTATGGAGATGGGGTAAGTGGGGGGCAGGGGAGAGGGGCACACCCTGACAGTCGTTCCCCCCCCCCAGCAAGCAGGAGACTCCAGGGAGCAGCTCTAAGGCAGAGGGCAAGAGCAGCACATGGCAGTGGGGGGAGGGACAGCTGAACTGCCAGCAATTGATAGTCTGTTGGACGGTTGCTGCACAGGGAATATAGGGGAGCGGGGAGCTGATAGTGGGGCTGCCAGTCGATCCTGGTTCCAAGCCCCCACCAGCTAGCTCCAATGGGCTGCTCTTTCTGCAAGCAGTGGACAAAGCAGGCAGCTGCCAAACAGAGTTATAAGGGAACATTGCACAACTTTAAATGAGCATGTTCTCTAATTGAACAACATTAACCAGGACGACTTCAAGTGAGGAGTTACTGTACCTGAAGTGTCTGGGAGAAGGCCACTTGCTATTTGGTATCTGATCTGTCAGACCTTCACTCCCAGCGCCCACAAGTACGGATTTGTCTGCAACGTCCTCTGCTTAAGGAAGCCCTTGAGGCTAGACCTTTGGATCTGTTCAGACTTCGGTTTCAAGGTCTGAAAGAGTCAGCCTCTGCCCCGGTGGCCTCCGTTGGTTCTGGTTGACTGAATTTCTTCAAGAAGGTGGAAGGTGCCTAAATTTTCTCTCTTATGATTCTGTCAGTGCTTCTGTGCACCCAGAAAGCAAAGGTCTCTGAGGACAATCTCTTGTTCATGGAGGGATCATAGAAAATTGGTATAATTACATCTTTGGAATCCCAGTTTTTCATCCAAGCTCTAACCATCAAACTGGGTTTTCAAAAACAGCATTTGGGATGGGTCCTGACACTTGTAAAGGCTGCTGTCCTGTGGTGGGCTGGCCCCTCAGTAGCTATGCCAGAGCACAGCCCTAACTATCAAAGGTTGGCAAAAGGGCAGAGCCCCCAGCTTGAACCCTCCCCCAACTTCCTGGCACTGCTCTGACACCACCTCCCATCCCTCTCTCACTACTCCCACCCTCCTATCTCTGCCCCCCAAAAGTTTTAAGAATCTGAAAGTGTTAGCAGCAGCTCATGTTAGGTGGGCAGTGTATCAGGATTCCCTTGACTAAGGGTATGTCTTCACTACCCGCCGATCCGGCGGGTAGCAATCGGTTTATCGGGGATCGACTTACCGCGTCTCGTGAGGACGCGGTAAAATCGATCCCTGATCGCTCTGCCGTCGACTCCGGAAATCCACCTCGAAAAGAGGCGGCAGCGGAGTCGGCGGCAGCGGTCGGCTTTCCCCCGTCCTCACCGCCAGGTAAGCCGACCTAAAATACGCAACTTCAGCTACGGTATTCACGTAGCTGAAGTTGCGTATCTTAGGTCGGAACCCCGCTGTAGTGTAGACCTAGCCTAAATGGCCCAGCCACTTGCTTTTCTTTGATCACACTCAGTCCCGTTGTACAGGAAAAGGGTGGAGGGGCCTGCATCAGGATTTCATTATCCTTATTGCTTACTAGAGTCTTTCATCTGCCCTGTATTTAATTAACGCTAATTTCCTTGCCAATACTTCTAAACTAAAACCGAGGCCGCATGTGGATTTTAGAGCACTTGACAATATTGCTCTTCAACCAGAAATGTTGGTCTCAGAGCCAAACTTTCAAAAGGATCCCTGCAGAATGCAGGTAGAGAGCAACTAGTGTGTACAACATGCATTCTCGGACAGCTGCCAAGGGAAGGGCTCAAACTCTCAGTACATGGGTGCAGCTCAGGTTCAATTTCCACAGCATGACCCCTTGAGCCACCCAGTTACTATCACAACAGTCTGCCTGCAAACTCTCTGGTTTCAGCAGAGCCCTAGGATTGCTGCCCTTATGCATTTTACTCTTTGGGCCAACCCATGCTGGAGTAGTGTACTTTACTCAGTAACTTTTTCAATACTGATTCCCTAAATGGGTAGGGGATACAACTGGGGGGGCAACACCAGTTTGGGTGATATAAAAGTGTTTGTTCCTGGGCATATAACAGCATAATTCTCTCCAAGTACGGCATCAAAAATCAGGGTGAGGTCTGCTTTATAAAGAAGCAAGTCTGAGCCCCGCGTATGGGCAAAAAAAAAAAAAAAAAAAAAATTATTTTTGTAAACAGCTGATATTTAGGGAGGGGACCCTTTCCTCAAATGACACCAAATTTGGACCACTAACCCTACCCTGAATGCACCTGTCTCCACGAGGCACAGAAATTTCTAACAATTCAAGTTGCCCTGTGGATTTTAGAGTATTTAGAATAGGTGTGTTTTAAACAGTAGGTGACTCTTGACCTTAACTGAACTAGAACTGCTGTTCTACTATAATCTTGTGGCTCAGAATTAAAGATATCTGGGAAATGCGTCAAGAATTTTTTTTTAACCGTATCAACATTAACCAAATGCATGAACTCCATTGACAGTGGGTGATTTATTAAATACCTGAACCAGTTGTTTCCACTGCTTTCAACATGTAGGTTGATTTAGTTGTGTTCTTGCTATGTGGTTTATATAAGCACTGAATTAATCATTAACTATAAATTAAAGTGCTACTTCAGAGAACAGTATTTATTAGCTGTAAAATACTATTGGGGGGAGGTAACTAATCCCATTGATATCAGTAACAGCCGCAGTGCCTAACAATGAAGCATGTCTGCCCACTCGGTCTCACTCCAGCCTATGTGACGGAGACCTGGAAACGTAGTAGGACAAGCCAAACGGCTGAATGTGATTGGGATACAGCAACAATTCTGAGCACTCCAGGAGCTGAGAGTTGCAGCGCTGGCCTCCGTGAGCACAAGCACTATGGTCCTGGATTAATGAAGATATAGGCTTACAGAATGTGTGCAGGAAGCTTTAGGACATACCTTACAGGTCACTTTCGAAGCTTCTTTATAAAGCAGACCTCATCGCGATTTCTGATGCCGTACCTGCAGAGAGAGTTATGCTATTATATGCCCAGGAACAAACCTTTATATGCCCCCAGCCCACACACTCCTCCTCACCTGGCAGCGTCCATGCTTTAAAGGAGAGACATGGCCCCTGTGTTATTGGCAGGACACCAAATAGTCCTGTGACCAGAGAATTCTATTCCATTTATCCAGCTTCCCACCCCATCACTGCAGTAACTCAGGACCTGCAGTCATGCAATGCATTAACTTACATGATTAACATCTATCACATGCACCGCATTCTCTCTCATCCTGTCCCCAGTGGGAGAATCATGCATGCATGGCAGTGTTGGTGGGGAGGGGGCTGGAGGGTTGGTTTTTTTGTAGCGAAGGCATTTCTTGCACCCACCAATCTGTACACAGTATTTAGGAGACAAGCCTTTTCCCTTCAGTCTGTGCACGGAGGTTGCCAATTTTCTTCGTCCAATCTGATTGGCTCCAGTGTGCCCAGTGCCAGAGTGTGTGTAATAGCCAGAGAATGCAGCAGGTGCTGGCGCTGCTCCCTTCTCATGTTACTGAGTGTGTGTAGAGCTGGGATGGTTTGTAAACTTCTTTACTTAGATCCCCAGTGACATACCACTGAGCAGGGCCAGGAGCCTGTTTTCCACTCTCATCCTTGGTATGCCTGCTGCCTTCTACTCTTCACTCCCTCTTCCTGTGTTATCATGACTCCCATCCTACCTCTCCCTTCAGCCTCTCAACCAGTGGCACGGCTCCCTCCCCCATCCCAGGGTTCTGTCCTTGCTCTGCTCCGTCCTCATCTTATCCTGGATGCCTCACTGCCCGTTAAATCACAACAGAAAAAAAGACTGACTCACCCCGGTCCCAGCTAATTTCTGCCCTCCCAGCCCCATCACCACCACACATGCACACCGCTCCCTGAGGAAAAATAACCCCCCTGCCTCTTTTTCCCTTGGTCTGTTGGCATCTATGGTGTTGTCAGGCTAATTTAAACTGAGCCCCTCAGGGCAGAGTGTTTGTCATATTTATCTGGGAAGCACCATGCATACCTGTGGTTGGTGCTCTGGAAACAGCAATAGCCTGGGAAATGCAGAACCTACTCTCGGTAACTGCGAATCAGGGAAATAGCTTTTCACCAGGAGAAAGGACTCATGGCTGCTCTGTTGAGCTTCAAGGTTTGCTGACTTCGAAACATCAAGTCAACATATTGTATTGTTATACACACTATGAGGACAGCCCAGAGAATGAGAAACGGGCTGAGACATGGGGGGGGGGGGGTCCCTTTAATAATAATTATAAATGTTGGATCTAGATCTGTCAATGGTGTATCGTAAGTGGGGCAGGATCTTTCACCCTGCATAGCGGAGCTGACCAACCTATGGAGAGAGGGCTTTCTAAGAGAACCTCTTACTAATAGTCACCAAATCACCTCCGCTGAGGTTCATTAAGAGACCAAGCCAGAGAAGTAGCCTTAATGGTTCTAGCCCACTTTTGTGGGAATAGTCTGAACAAGAGGCAACCCAAATGGGAAACCCAAAGACACAGGAGGTTCTGGGCCGGCTAGAGGAACAGAAGTGGCTTCCGTTTTGTTCCTGTAACTGAAGAGGAAAGCCTGTCTAACTGAACATATAGAACATCATAAGACTAGATGAGACTCAATACGCGTGTTGGCTGTTTATTGTTACAAAATCTCCCTTTCTCTCATTGCTTTGTTGCAGTGGTTAGCTAAAAACATTGTTTTAAGGAGGCTGTTGGTCAGTCTCACTGGTCACAGATTCCCCCAGGGAGAAAACACGTGCCTGACCCCAGGTCAGGGAGAGACGTGCAGCTAGTTCACTCCCATGACACCAACCCTGGGAGCACACCATGAGGCAATGCAGTCACACTTCTCAAGCTTTCCATTGGGAAATCTAACCAGAATCAAGGGGACAAGACCAGCCCTGCACGCATAAACGTTTTACAGACATGCAATCTGACAACTTCGATCAAGCCAGGCCTCTCTAGTCCCAACAAGCTCAGTGAAGATAGAAAAATCCTGCTACTTACTCTCGCAGCTTCTTTTTGTCATCTGTCATTTTCTCTCCAGCAAAGGTTAAGTGATACGTTCTCCATACGTAGGTCCTGTAAAGGCAAAATTCTGTAACTTAACAGAGGGCAGCAGGAACAGCAGCAACCCACAAAGGATCAGAGAATAAGGATGACAGCACAGAGGGGACAGCAATGAACATGACTCAGTGAGCGCAAGTGCTGCTCCCTGAGGTACCCGAAATATGAAAGGAGTGAAATCCTGCTCTGTATGTGGCCTGCCCTTCCACCGCTCTGTTCCCAGCTATCACAGGTCAGTCCAGAGTGGAGTGACTGAGCAGCTAGGGCCTTCAGGCTCTTAGTGCCCCACATGTGCTTTACAAGGGACTCCACCTGCAGTTATGTCTCTTGGGTCGATTACACAAATGAAGGCCAGGATTTAGGCGCCTCAGAGACAAAAGGAAATGAACAGGATTGTGTGGGTGGCTGCTTTACACTCCTCTTGTTGTAGGAGAAACGGTAGTATCAAGGTGCATCAGATTGCCCATAGCACCCTCTTTCCCCTGGGGAGCCCCCAACTCACCAGCTAATGTGCTGTATGCCCCCTTCCCGCTCCTGCTTCAGCTGAACATATCGCTGGATGGCTTTCTTCAGGTCCAGGACACTGGCATTCTGTACCACTACTACAGCTAAAAGGGAAAAGACTGTCACCTGGCAATAGTCCCAGAGATGCAGTCCGAAGGGAGGCAGAACTCCAGCTCCCAGACCCCGCCCTCACCTGTTGGAAGCTGCACTTTAAGTGGAGTTGCTTTGTGCTATTTGTGGAGAATAAAGAGCAACACTAGGACTGGCTTTCCTTAATGCTCCAATCCAAAAGCCTGTGCCACAACTGCACAGGGCTGGGAACTGGATGATACAAAGCCAGCTTGGCAGCTGGTGAGAAGTGAGGTAGGGATGAGTCTGCCTGGCTGTATCACACAGGAGTTTTTTACTTTATTGCATCACAGCATTTTAGGCCCCTGTGCCTCGGACTCAGAAGATGGTTTGGGCTGCATGGGCCTGGTGAGAAGGCACTAAGCTACAGCACTCTGATACCCTGCTGGCAGTATTCAGAGCCCTGCATGACAAGGAGTTTACCAATCTAGCACCCTTCACAATGTCACCATGGTAGGGTGCCATGTGGAGGGGTTTGCCCAACCTCAGACATAGCACCTGCTGCATTGGCTTACTAGCTGGCTCAATACTTAAGTGTTCTGGATTGAATTTCCTAGAACTCCTCCTCAACCTTCTGATCCCATTCAAAACCCAGCCCCTGCAGATAGCCTTCTTTCACCAAGCATGGAATTCCTCCCCAGAGCCCATCAATGCAACCCCTACACACGCTAGGGAAGGTCACCTCACAGTGAGCTAAGTGGTGGGGTAGGCACTAGATCAAGTGGCAAAAGAAGATGTGGGAACTGAACCTTGGTCTCAGTGTCCTCCCCAGATCCAACCCCACCTCAGCCTGGCTTCAGTAGGAGGCTGCACACATGCCCAGTGCCACTTAACTGCGAGCAACTACCCCAGCTAGCTCTACCACTCTCCCCCCGCTCCAGCTTCTGACTGACCAATGAGATTTTCAAGGGAGATGATTCAGCACGGTCCCTGCATGTGTGCCATTTAACATGACAAATACATCTATGTAGGGGCAGGCCCTACACAACCCCTGAAGTAGCACATGGGAGCAGACCCACTTCTCCTGGCTTGTAGCCCCTCCCTTCACTTTAGGTCAAAGATCTGGCCAGTGATCTGTGGCAGGCCGTCAGTGTGATCTTAGATGATATGTCTACTCTGCAATAAAAGACCCATAGCATGGGCATCTGTGGAAGCACCCACACACAAGAAGGGTGGGTCTCAGAGCCCATGCTCCAGTTTGAGCCTGAACGTCTATGCTGCAATTTTTAGCCCCACAGCCTGAGCCATGCAAGCCAGAGGCAACTGACCTGGACTCAGACTCAGTGCTGTGAACTTTTTATTGCAGTGTAGACATACCCAGAGAGACTCCCAACACAACCCCGACAGTCAGCATAGGGCGCCGGGGGTGGGGCGAGAAGCATGTCAGGGACTTACGCATAACTTCTTCATCCGCCTTGCACACCCGCACAGTCATGGCTTGGCCATACTCCAGCGCAATCTGAGAATTGATTTCCTCCACGGTAACCTGTCCAGAAAGTTAAAGACAGATGAACCACCAGGTGTATCTTGCTCCACACAGCCCTGTTAGCACTCTGAGCGGTGTGACTCAAAGCGTCTGATACCTGCAGCCATGGGGCTCTGCCCTCTTGCCCACCTCCTCCCCACCCCAGGGCTCTGCCCCCCCATACCCCGCCCCCAATACCTCCACAGCCCTGCCCTCTCACCCCCATTTCTCCCGGGCTTTTTCTCCCCCACCCTTTCTCGAGGGCTCTGCCCCCCCCATAACTACCCATGCCCTGAACCCACCTGCACCCCTCCAGGGCCCTGCCCCGTCCTACACCAAACCACCCATTCTGCAGGGCTCTGCACCCCCCGCCGCCGAATTTCTAGGGCCCTGCGCACCCCACAACCCGCACCCAACCACCCCCTTTCTCCAGGGCCCTGACCCCGGCAGTCACGTGGGCTCGGGACACGCCCCCCAGCTCCTGTCCGGCTCGCCCCAGAGCGGTGGGGGGGAGGGGGGCAGTGCAGTGACGCGGCACAATGCCGGTGAGGGCGGGGCTGGACGCTGCTAGGACGACGGGGCTCCGCGCGGGGGGCGAGCGGCACCTGCACGGGGAGGTCGCAGAGCAGCGGGTCCTGCACGAGGCGGGCCAGCCCCTCCTGGAACAACTCGAGCACCTCGGCGTGCGCCAGCTCCTCCTCCTCGGGGCCCGGCTCCGCCATCAGCGCGCGGCTCGCCAGGAGGGAGGGGCCTGAGCGCGGGCGGGGCTTCCCGTGACCCGGAGAAGAGAAGAGGGGGGCTGCGACGTGACCCGGAAGCGGAAATGCTGCTGTTCTGCCCGGCTTGCGGGAACGTGCTGGTGGCCGAAGAAGGCGCGAGATGCCACCGCTTCGCCTGCACCACGTGTCCCTACGTGCGCAACGTCACGCGCAAGGTAACCCCCCCGCTGGTGGCAGCGCCCCCGTGCTGCCGCCTCTCCTGGCGAGGCCTGTGCTTCGGTGGGCGGGGATTGCCAGCCCCTAAAGCCCGCCTCCTGGGGCAGAGCAACCAATCAGAGCCTGGGGGCGTGGCCTGAGTGGTCTGCTGGGGGCGGGGCGGGGCCTGGCCTGAGGGGTCTGCTGGGGGCGGAGTTGGTCGTTGCGGGGCGGGGCCGTTGTGGGCGGGGCTCATGCCATGGACGGAGGTACCTCCCAACCAGGCTGCCTGGGTGAAATCCGGGTTGGGGCCGTCTGGAGCCTCACGGCCTGTGTGCCCCACAGGTGAGCAGCCGGAAGTACCCGAAGCTGAAGGAGGTGGATGACGTGCTGGGTGGCGCTGCGGCGTGGGAGAACGTGGACTCCACGGCAGGTGAGCATCGCCCTTGGGGCTCGGCTGATGATGCCTGGTTGGCTCCCCCACTGCTGGGGACATTGGGCCCTCCTGGCATGGCGGGAAGCCGAGCCAGAGCATGAGGGACAAGCTGAGTCAGGGATCAGCTCCTGGCGAGCTGGCTCCCAGCCTCCCTCCAGTACAAGAACAGTCCATCTAGCCCAGGATCCTGACTTCTGATGGTGGCCAATGCCAGGTGCTTCAGAGGGCATGAACAGAACAGGGCAGTTATCAAGTGATCCATCCCCTGTCATCCAGTCCCAGCTTCTGGCAGTCAGAGGCTAGAGCCATTCAGAGAATGGGGTTGTGTCCCTGCCCATCTTGCCGAATAGCTATTGCTGGATCTGTCCTCCATGAACCTAACTCTTTTTTGAAACCCCTTATAGTTTTGACCTTCACAACATGCCCTAGTATGAGTTCCACAGGTTGACTGTGTGTTATGTGAAGAAACACTCCCTTTTGTTTTAAACCTGCTGCCTATTAATTTCATTGGGTGACCCCTAGTTCTTGTGTTATGAGCAGGCCCTTTCAGAGGTCCAGAGAGGCGTGGGCCACTTCCAGGTTTTGAGGCCCCTAGCCATAATAAAAATGACGACACATGAAAACAAAATAAGGCACCAAAAAAAGAATTTCAGAGGGAGCTCACAGATGATATACAAATTATGAAAATGAGTCAGGCAAAAGTGGAGAAAAAGGCGGAAAGGAGGAACAAGGACTCTAGAAAAAAGTAAATCACAATTTAAAAAATACAATGCAAGCTAACTACAAAATGTCTTTCATAGCTGTTTTATTATATGGAGATATACCTATCTCATAGAACTAGAAGGGACCTTGAAAGGTCATTGAGTCCAGTCCCCTGCCTTCACAACAGGACCAAGTACCATGACAGATTTTTGCCCCAGATCCCTAAATGGCCCCCCAAGGATTGAGCTCACAACCCTGGATTTAGCAGGCCAATGCTCAAACCACTGAGCTGAAACATGTAGCCAACCATATTTGAAATGTTCTGCTGTAAATAAGTAGCTTATCCAAACTTGAAATGCTCTACTGTAAATAAGTAGCCTATTTACACCTGAAATGTTCTAAAGTAAATATGTAGCTATCCACACTTGAAATCTTCTGTTGTAAATAAGTAGCTTGTCTACGCTTGAAATCTTATACTGTAAACATGTATACAAATGGTGAAAAGACTTAAAATGAAGGAATACCAATTAAGAACACAAAATGAAACACTCAGGTTATTATCCTCATCATTGAATTAAAATTCAAGCACGCAAGATATAATATAACAGGCTGAACTGAAGACAAAGGGATGACATATATATAGTAAACACAGACACGGATACAGATAGAGGGATAATGTCCAAAAATTTCAAACTTGTGTCCTCACAAAACTCACTGTACAAGATTGTCCTCAGAAATGTTCACCCTGAATCTGGGCCTATAGACTACGAAAGCCTATGATGATGGCCAAGCTACCAAGCTAGGGCTCAACCAACCAACCAGTCACCTCTTTTAGCTACCATATGAAGATAATAATGAGGAATTCTCACACATAAATAATTCCTTAGTCAACTAGATGTAAAACTATAAAGACACTAAAATGTAACAATTCTATACCTTTCAACATGCTCTTGATCCAGCACCAGCCACTAGTAGTGGTTTGTTTATATAATCAGCTGATCTGAGAGGACACGTTCATCACGGTCTAATCTTGTGCCATCAGAGCCAATATATTAATATTTATGAATATTTTTAACTTTTAATATGACAAATCTATATCAGTTAACAAAAAAAGATGTCTTTTACCAAATCACATCTCTTATTTACTTAAATTTGCAGCTCTAAGATGAGAGTGTGTGTCACATTTTGGTCTGATAGGGATGCGCATAAAAACAAGTTGTGAAACTTATCAAATGCCAAAATTTGAGGTCCCCTTTGAGCTTGAGACCCAGGCCAAATGGCCCTCCTACCTCCCCCCCCCATTCTGATTGGCCCTGGTTATGAGAAGGAGTAAATAACACTTCCTTATTCACTTTCTCCTCATCAGTCATGATTTTCTAGATCTTTATCATATCCCCTCTTAGTTATTCTTTTCCAGTTTTCCAAAATTGCACACTGTATTCAAGGTGTGGGTGTACCATGGATTTATATAGTGGTATTATATTTTGTCTTAGTGTCTATCCCTTTCCTAATGGTTCCTAACGTTCTGTTTGCTTTTTTGACTGCCTCTGCACATTGAGTGGATGATTTCAGAGAACTATCCACAATGACTCCAAGATCTCTTTCTTGAGTGGTAACAGCTAATTTAAACCCCATCATTTTGTATGTATAGTGCCCCCCATATCTTAGAAACCAGGTAGTCCTCAACATGTTAAATCCGTTGGCATTAGGGAGTGTTCTCAAGGACAGTGGCCAGAGTTACTGATCTACCCCTGAAGGCCCTCTTAAGTTCTCCCATCATGTAAAAAGTGAGCCACTGGACATTTTGAAATAGCTCTTGAATGGATTGTGGAAGGCTGAATTCTAGCCCTTCAGATAGAGCAGCTCTAGAAGTGAGCTCCCCTGGCAGAACGAAGAATTGCTTTGCTAGCCCTGGGAGCTGTACTCACTGTAGTTCTTCTGGTTTCTTTTGCAGAGCCGTGTCCCAAGTGTGAGCATCCTCGTGCCTACTTCATGCAGATTCAGACCAGATCAGCTGATGAGCCCATGACCACCTTCTATAAGTGTTGTAATGCCCAGTGCGGCCACAGGTGGAGGGACTAATTTTTGCTTCAGATTTAATTTCTTCAGTATCGTTTTTGCTGTTTGTTTGAAAATTCCCCAGCTTGGTTGTATGAAAGATGGTAACATGGAAATAAGTGTCCCTGGTTCCAGCTGTTGCATGATGTTAAATTAACACTGGCTGCTGCTAGTGCAGGCATTCACCATAATCTGATGGTCCAGGGGCTGAAGGTTATGCATATACTGCACATTTTCCTGATAGCAAACATTGTTAGAACAAAGAACTGCCTCTGTTTAGAGATTATATGCAAAAATGTATTTATTCAGCAGTTCCCACTGCAACGCTGCTCTTTTATAGGGATGCATTAAGTTATCATTTATTACTAACCACACCTGTGATCTAAGATTGCAGGCTAAAAAATGGCAGGAATGGTCAGTATCTAGATGGGAAACAGCCAAATAAAATGTTCACGTCCTATTATTGCTTCAGCGGGTGATGCTTCCCCTGGATCAGTACTGAACTCACAGGACTGGGGCCCTGTTGTACTATGCTCTGTACAGAAAGCTGACAAAGCCTGTCCCCTTGCCCTAGATTGCTTATGAATGAAAGAAAAAAAAAAAAGACAGGTGAAAGATGAGGGAAAAGAGATGCAGCATACAAGGAGCATGATCAGAGTGATGGAGAGGAATTGTCATTTTAGTTTTGTGTTTCAATATTTAACTCCTGTCCCTGGATGGTATGAGGCCAGTGTGTGAGTGGAGGTGGCTTCCATCTCATAAGGCCTAAAATCAAGGTCCTGACTGCTGGACACTAAGGATACCACAGTGCTTTTTTCAGGCTTATTTTAAACAGAGGCCTTGTCTATGTTCAAAGTTGCACTGGTTTAACTAACAGTGTGTTTAAAAAACCTTCAGCAACTAGTGAAACCAGTGCAAATCCCTGTGTTGATACACAGTACGATTTAAACCTAACTTATATTGATGTATTTTGATTCCTTAGGGAGTTAATATAAGCCAGCTTTAAGTCAAATTAAGAGTGTCCTGTAGTTTTACTAAACTGGCTTTTCAACTCCTTTAAAGTTAAACCAGTGCCATTTCAATATAGACAGATGTTCTCCTTCTTATATTTATTCAATGTCAAGTAACCAGGTGACTTTTCACTAGAAAGAACTGAGGTGTAATGTAATTTTTCCCAGTGCTGTGTTACTCTAAAATTTAGATGCCAATTAAGTTAGCCTATGATAGCTCTTTTAATTTAACAAAAGGGTAACAGGGTTGTGGCCCGCCCTAAAGGAATTGCCAGAGTGTTACCTGCAGAGGGCTCCCCAGAGCAAGCTAGTCTTGAAAGGACACGGATACAGCCTTCCGCTCAAGGATGGGCACACAAGCAGAAATTCTTTGAAAACAAAAGAATTATTTATTTTACAGAAACAGAAGTTACAGTGGGTTTAATAAGGCAAGAAAAGATACATAGGATTTAATAAAACACAATAGAATTACATTTAAGAATTGTACAATAAAGCGGCGCGACAAAATAAAAAGAAACTATATAGGATATCTAAGACATACAGGAAATACAGTAGTTTCAATGTAACATGCATATAGGGATCCCATATACACAAAGGCTTTTAGTTTTAGTGATACAATTTAACCCCGTACTTAATATAATGTGGTATACGCGACCTCTATATACACATATGAAAAACCATTACCGTATTCACAGATTTAAACATTTATTTAGCATCAACATTAACACTTAATACTAAACATTTAAAACTTAACATCCTGCAAATGCTGGCCAAATGGTTGCAGGACGGGTAGGGGAGATCTCACTCAAGACACAGGCATCCGGCTTTATTTACAGACAGACCTATACATTCTTAAATGATAAGTAGAAAAGAAGATCAGACTTACACTTATATTGAAAACTCCCTCTGTACCGTCTTAGGTCCTTCTGATCTTAGTTTTGGGGAGTGTAGTCTCTACAGTTGTGGTCTCTCTTCGAGCTGGGGGGGTAATGGCGGTTGCTGCTGCTGGCCGTTACTGCTGGCAAGGTAGCTGCTAGCAGGCAGTTGTTTGTTGCCAAGGCAACCTTAGAATTCTGCTGATGATCTTTGAAGCTTCTTGATCTTCCCAGGTAGTGCTGTCTTCCTTTGATGTCTTGCCACTCTTGCTCTTCTCAGTCTGCTGTCGAACCCCTAATGTCTAACTCACTACAGTCTCAGCCTGCTGGCTGTCTGCCTCACATACTGGTTGCTCGCTCAAAGTCAACTCATTAACATAATTTTTCTGGCTCAGCCAATCTGCTTCCAGATATTAGCATATTTCTTCTTCCTGTCTAGATCCGTTCCTTTTTATTAGCATATTTGTACTTCCTGACTCGCTCATTCCCCTCTTACATTATCCTATTTTTAGATAACTAAGCTCCTCCCCGGTGCCATCTTGGATTCTAGACCTTTCTAAGCTCCTCTCTCTGATGCCATCTTGTTTGCTAGAACTTTCCCCTACCTAAATTTGAACTGCATTATCCCCATCTCTGCCATTTTGGTCAGCCATGTTGGATTTTCTAAATTTAAACTATCATTAGTTTCTACTTATTTAGAACCTTAATCTTAAAACTAATTAGTATTTTATGCAAGCCAAAGTTTCCTGATACTGTCATCACCTTAATTATATCAATTGGGAAAAGTGAATTTTATGGTGTTTTTAAACTCCCTCCAAAGTTTTTCTGCAAGCCTTTATTAAGGTGCTGCAAGGTATTTCAGAACATTCAGAGCAAAAATCTCTTGTTACAGCTGTGCTCTGAAAAAACATATACAGCCGTGAAAGAAGAGCTCCAAGGGGCACCCCACTTTGGGGGTTCTGTCCTTGGAGCTTCCCTTTCACACTCAACTAGTTTTGAAAGTGGCGCCTATGAGAGTGAGGTTATACCTGGCCAGTAACCAGTTGGTACATTCTACAAGTAGCACATCTAAGATGCTGCTGTAGAAAATGATTTTGGGAAAGCAGCATATAAGTTCCATATTCATCTTTCAATGATCTCGCATCAAATGGGGCCAATTTACAAGTACAAAGAATTGTTTTAATTGCTAGCTCTGCACATTCACACTGGCATTAGTACATCTGTGCTTTTTCCATTTCATGGATGATCCATAAAGACTTTGTAATCAGCTTGGTTTATAGTTCTGTTACATGAGGTAGAATAACACTTAACTCCCTCTCCCAGAGCTGAGCTAGCTCTTCAGGATTTGGAGGAGTAAAATGTAGGAAAAATTTACTTCGGCAGCAATCTGCTGAGAATCCTCATCGGTTTGCCACGTGTAATGTCATGGATAGGGCCCTACCAAATGCACGGTCCATTTTGGTCAATTTCATGGGCAGAGGAATTTAAAAATCATAAATTTCATGATTTCAGCTATTTAAATCTGAAATTTCACAGTGTTGTAATTGTAGGGGTCCTGAACCAAAAAGGAGTTGTGGGGGGTCACAAGGTTATTGTAGAGGGGGTTGCAGTACTGCTACCCATACTTCTGTGCTACTACTGGCAGGGCGCTGCCTTCCGAGCTGGGTGCCTGGCCAACAGCCACCGCTTTCTGGCTTCCCAGCTCGGAAGGCAGCGCAGAAGTAAGGGTGGCAATACCGTGACCCCCCTGCAATTTCCTTTTGGGTCAGGACCCCCAATTTGAGAAATGCTGGTCTCCCCCATGACATCCGTATAGTATAGGGTAAAAGCACACAAAAGACCAGATTTCATGGGGGGAGACCAGATTTCATGGTCCTTGACGCGTTTTTCATGGCTGTGAATTTGGTAGGGCCCTAGTCATGGAGAAGCAGCACTCTCACAGGTTTGCTTCCTCTGCCCAGCCATGCTCCAAATTCAGAGAAGCCCAACCACGTGGAGCTCAGAGAGGAGAGCTGTGTCGACTCAACTCTCTGCCTTCAGATAGATTTCATGTCAAAGGAGCAAAAAAAAAAAAAAAAAAAAAAATAGTGGATAAAAAGGCCAAGTGAGAGCTGCGAGATTGTTTAAGCTGCGTCAGGTAGGATCTGTGGTATGTATTTAGACGGAATATATGGGCTAAAGCTGTTAACATAACCCAGTCACTATCCAACATTAAACAATTTTAAATAAGGTTTGGTATACAGAGACCTTAGCCTGTTTTGTGCCATGCCAAACATACCATTAAAAATCCTTTTAATGTTTTATAAGATACGGGAAAAATGGTTACAGCATTTGCTATGTAAAGTATTGAATAAGGTTTTTGTTTTAACAACATTCCTTATTCCCTTTCCCTTTAGCTGGAGAGAGTTTTTAGAAGGAAAAAATATTTGTTTGACACCATCTAAGAGACTGCCAATGATGGTAATAACTCTCCTTTTTGGGGAAAAGATTAGTAGTTAGTAGAGATGTGCTGGAGCTGTCATTGTTGCTGTTGATGTTAAAGTCTGATCCTGTTTCCTAAAAGGGAGAGGAAAAGATCAGCAAAGACAGAAAATGCAGCGTCTGTATCTGGTGCTGATTCTCACTTGCAGCCTCACTGCTGGAAGAACATAGGCATGGCACACGGTCTGATCAGCCACTCTGAGACCTGGCAAAGTCATACCAACATCAGACAGTTTAGGGCATTTCTTTTTGCTACTCTCTGGTCACAGGCTTACAGCAGTGTTGCAAAATATGTAGTCTTGACATACAAGCAAGCAAGACAGAAGGAAAACGGAGAGAGAGAGAGGAAAGAGAACAGAAAAGGATACATGGGGTGAGACAAAGTGGTAGTGGGGATTTAGCTGGACATGGTAGGTAGGGATGGTCATCTGGCTCCCTGGACATCTTTCAGGATTGGGACAAAGGAGCTCTGCGGTCCCAGGAGATGATGGGGGTGGCAGCCATGAGAGTGAAGCTCACTCCTGGAGCCTTTTTCTCCCGAAGTCTCTTTCTTTAAGGACCCCAAAATTGAGCGATGGGCGGAATGGCTCATCCTCTCATTTTGTCCACCAGTTAGGCCTAATTCCAGATGCCAATTTTGGTTCACTGATTGCTGATCCCATCCTTTTCTTGTTTATCAGGCATGATGTTAACTCAGTCCTTGAGTTATATCAGTAGGCCTCTCTGTTTGGACTAATTCATTCTTTCTATCTCCTTTGTGCACTTCTTTCCATCACCATAACATGATATTTTATAACCTTTCACTCACTCGTCACAGTTGAATTCACAATTAGGGGAAGTTTACAGGTCCATTTATTACAACAGATCCCTATAGTGAGCTTGGACAAAACACTTGACAAAGGCTGCAGGCACGAATCTGTTCCTAGCGGAGGAACTTGCAGCACTTCGATAAGGTAACCTGGTTGGCAGAGTTAAACAAGGCCAGTCCAAGTCAAAGGCAGGGATGGCTGAAATCAGGAGTGTGCTGGAAGCAAGGTGGATGCCATCTGCTGGGCTACTGGGGGATTTGCTGCTGTGATGGTTGAGCCAATAAGTTTATATTACACTCAAAACTCAGTTAAAACATTATAAAGGTTGCAAAGTTGAGCACTCAGAAGTTAGGAAATGCCAGAATTAAGGTGGTTTGTGCAGCTTTCATTTGGTCCTTGTGTGCCTATGCCTTATGATGGTCTGTAATTAGGTGAGCATATACTATGTTTTCCACAGGGCCCCTGTCTCATTCCGGGCACAGGCTGGATGTGCTCTGGGGATGAATCAGGGTTGCAAAGTGAAGGAGTCTTAGAATGGTGCTCTTTGCTGTCACAGGCTGCAGGAGAAGCTGACTGACCAGAGGGCACCTATGCCATAGGCTCAGCAGGTTTTGATGAAGTGCTAGGTTCCCAGATCCAGGGTGTTGAGGAACCAGGGCGCAGTACCCAGCCTGTCTGACTCACAAAAGACTCCCCGCTAGCCTCTGCTTGAACCCAAACCAAAACCAATCAGAAGACTTACAAAAAGCAATGAAAAGGCAGTGGGAGACACACCTAAACCCTTGGGATAAGGGTGACAGGATTAAGGCAACTCCCCTAGGCTCATTTGCATCGAAGATGGGACAAGGAGGCATCTCCATTATCATACAGACCGGAGAACAGAGATTCCAAGGCAAGAATTGCATGGAACTCTGGGACCAGAAAGCAGGGAAGCACTGCATGATGGGGGATCTCTGCTCCAGATGTTAATGAACCCAACGAAAGAATATTAGAGCACCTCCGGCATGTTGAATGTGTTTTGAAAAAAAAAACCCTGCATCCTGAACACTTGAGTTAAATGCCTTTCTCCAAAGACACTTAACATGCCCATCATTTACAGGCATAGCTGCCTCACAAGCTGGAAAGTTTTAAAGCCTGGAGATGCTCTGTCATAAGGACGGTGCCCTGACAATGAGGTAACTAATTACACAATCACCTACCGTTGCCTCATTCAGTGCACCAAGATGGTGTTTTCTCCCTGTTGTTCAATGTGTGGCTCCTGCCTTATTTATTGCACACTATTCAAACCTTCTCTGAAGACAGAATTATTAACTCCCTGAGTAACTGAGTGCGTCACCAATATTAATGAATTTATTTTCAGACCACCCTGCGAGGTGAGGGGATGGAATTATCCCAATTTTGCAGATAGTGAACTGAGGTACAGAAGTGAAGATAAAATTTTGGATACCCAATTTAAGACACCCTACAACCTGATTTTTCAGAGTACTTAGCATTCTGTGACACATCATATGTTCAAAGCACGGTTCCCATCAACTTCAGTCACAGCTATGAGTGCTCAGCCCTTCGGCAAATCAGGAGGGAGGAACACACAGTTGGTGATCAGCTCTAAAGAGTTTGGTTTAAGTGATTTGCTAAGCATCAGACAGGTACTCTATGGCACAGGCGGGGACAGAATCCATTCCTCCAGGGCAGAATTAACCTGGCTTAATCATGAGGCCATCCTGATTCTTCCTGAAGTCCCCTGTTTTTCTTTAAATATGTGCTGCTGTAATTAAGGTTGCAGACATCCTTAATTCTGGTAGTTTCAATGACTTTGCAACATTAGTAACATTCTTTTACCACAGATTGTATAATATTCTAGATTTTAAAAAAAGCAAACTGAAAAAACAGATTCCATCATGTGGCATGATCTTGACACCTCCATGGGTCATCAGCAAGGCTGGAATTTTTAGATCCACTGTACAGACCTCTGCCAATTGAGCTAATGGAGGAATGGATAGCAGTGGTAGGTCATCATCCTCTCCCTGGACCAGCACTAGAGGGAGATGGGACACTGCCAGTGAGTTTCATAGATATTTGTGGACAGCAGAGGAATAGTGACTCATGATTCTTGGGGATCCATTCCAGGCTCTGGAGTGGAGTGTTCTCTAGTGGGTACAGACTTTTGCATATTCCCCCTCTCCCCCAAAAGATTCCCTTCTGCCCCATCTATTCCATCCCCCCTGCTCTTGTCCCAGTCTCATTCACCTCAGGCTTCTTAGCCCAGTCCTAGTCTCCTTGCCCAGTCTCCCCCCTAATTTTCCCAGCTCCTCATCCCTAGTCCCCACTGTAAGCCTTGCTGGTGCCCTAGGCATGGCTAACAGTATGAACCAAAGTAGGCCTTGTCAGGATAGTTAGGTACAGTAGAACCTCAGAATCACAAACACCTCAGGAATGGAGGTGGTTTTTAACTCTGAAATGTTCATAACTCTGAACAAAACATTATAGTTTTCAAAAGTTTACAACTGAACATTGACTTAATACAGGTTTGGAAATTTACTGTGCAGAAGAAAAATGCTGCTTTTAATCATCTGAATTTAAATGAAACAAGCACAGGACCAGTTTCCTTACCTTTGTCAAATCATCTGTTAAAAAACTTTCCCTTTATTTTTTTTAGTAGTTTACATTTAAACACAGTACTGTACTGTATTTGCTTTTTTACTTGGTCTCTGCTGCTGCCTGATTGAGTTCTTCTGGTTCCAAATGAGGTGCGTGGTCAGTTCGTAACTCTGAGGTTCTACCGTATCAGCTAACCAAGTACACACATTCCTGACTTGAGAGAATGGTACAGAGCACACAGAGTTCTTAAGTAACTACATGAACACATTCCTAAGAGATGGTACAGGAACACCCAGACCCCTTGTAGGAAATGACAGGATAATGGATGAGGATGTTTTGTTTGAGGTACAAGGGTGGCAACAGATCTGGATTGTAATACATAACTTGTCTGTGTCTCTGTATAAAACGAGAAGTCATAGGAGCGGCAACTTTGCACTAGCCTAGGGGATGGCGCTGTGTCGAGTGAGCTATTACCTTGCTGCGGGCAGACATGGGTTAGCGTACCTGTAACTGTTGAGTTGGAGCACTAGAACCTTGGTTTGTCGACAATAAACCTGACCAAGCATCTTTGCCACTGAACTGAGCCTGTGGTCTTTATGAAAAACACTGAGGACTGCAGAATCAGCAAGCTGCAGTCTCTGCTGGTGCAGCTAACACCAAAGCTCCATGAACAGCATGGGAGCAATGCACAAACTCAACCCCCCCATCTCCTTGTCCAATCTGTTTCTCCCCGCTTTTGGCCTCTAGTTAAGTCTAGTCCATATTCGCCATCCCCACTGACTCCCAGTTCCAGTCACCTTCCATGGCTTTTTGTCCAATGTCAGTGTCCACACGCCCATCTCTTTGCTCAGCTAATCTTAGTTCTCCTCCCTGCCCCTTGTCAAGACTGGGGGATTAAGATGGGCCCACGACACTCTTCCGCTGCACACAGATTACTCTGGGGAGGTTGGGTCTTGGCATTAAAAGCCCATTGACTAAATGGGTCAGTTCACCCCTCTCAGAGGCTTCGCTTCAGGCTCTCTGCAGACTTATATGTTCAACTGAAGAACTGATCAATGATGCCCCATACTGTCGAGAACAGATTGAGAAATGCCTCCATTTAGCAAGCTAAGTAGCTCTTGTAGAAGGCTTTGTACTATTTAGCAGGACCTCTTGAATATCTTTTTGAACAAGCCTTCTCTCCAGTGTCTAGCTATGGAGCATCCATGCAGTTAAGTGAAGGGATTGTAGGCTTGGGTGGAGTAGGCGACCGTGTTCCTGGGAGATTAGGTCTGAGTCTAGTGGAAGTGAAATTGGAGGTTTCATTGATAGAGTCAGGAGAGTGGAGAACCAGTGCTGGGGCAATAAGTATGACTCTGGCCTGGTCCTGACTTATCTTTAGCAATAGGCTGTGAATGAGTGGGACTGGTGGAAAAGCGTAGAGGAGCCTGCCTGACCATGTCAGTATGGAACTTGGGCTGTGATCCTGTAGAATTGCTGACACGTTGTTGGACTTTGCTGTGGAAAATGTATCTGGCCACATCTGGGTGAAGAGACCACTCACAGTGATATGTAAACAAATTGCTCAGGTGGTCTGCTAGGTTGTTCTGTATGCCTGACAGGTAAGATCTATTGAACTGGCAATACTGAGCTCCCAAAGTAAAGTTGCTTCTTGACAGAGTGGAGTAAAGCAGGCTCCACCCTATTTGTTGAGGTGAAACATTGCGGCCCTGCTGTCTGGGAAGACTGACAGGCTGCTTCCCCTGATCTGTGATAAATACTTGGCATGCCAGTCTGTCAGCTTTCAGTTCTCGGACACGGATGTGTAAAGCTAAGTCCTCTGAGGACCACAGACCCTGCGTTTGTAGAGAAGCCAGGTGGGCTTCCCCATCCCAGAGCCAAGCCTCTGGTTTGCTTTACAACAGGCCTGAAGTAATTCCCAATAAGAAACAAAATTTATTTAACAAAACATGACAAGCAGAGCACAAGTTACGGGACACACCAGAAGTTTCACCTCCATTAGCATTCACCAACGCAGGCTGGACAAGTATGACGCACCATGCCATCTCTCATACATGGATCATCTGCACCCATTTATTCCAGTTGCCTTCGTACGGGAACACTCTGCCCATTCTCAGAGTACAGTCTATGGTAGGCTCATAAAATATTGTTGGAGTCTCACTCAGTTTGGAGTCGGTTAGCTCTTCTTCAGGAACAGGCCGAGAGAAGAGAGATATTGCCGAGGGCTTTTTCATGCAGAATCTTCTGATGCAGCCAAGGGCTTCCAGGCCCTGTTGAAAAATTGACATGTATTAGCTTAAGAAGTTACAGAGAAATGCTAAAACCCAGTAACACCCAGTAAGACTATTCTGTGTGACATGCTTCATAGATTGTTTCTCCAGATGCCTCGTCTCCACGAGAAAGTGGCACTGCTATAGATTACAGCATTATAACTAAACCAATAATGTGAGCCCATGCTGCTGAGTGCATGCACCAGTTTAAGCTACTCTGCTCATGAATCATGTGTCCACACAATGCAGCAGTATATTGATAAAAGCATGTTGCACTGGGGCTGGGAAGGAGGGGTCTCTCTCCCGGCAGCCGCAGCCCTGGAACTGGGGAAAGTTGCCTCTTTCTCTCGCCACCGCAGCCCTGCACGTCCCAAATTCCTCCCACCCCCTCTTCTCACCCCACTGCCCCCTCCCACCTACCCCCTATTTCCCCCAAGGCCACCACCTCACCTTACATGTGCATCTTCTCCAGGGTCCAGGCACCTAATTAGTGGAGCCACACCTGCGCGGCTCCACTAATTAGCTGGGCGGCCCTTCATTCTCTTGTGTGCGACCGCCCAGGCGCGCACCATAGAGGGAACTATCCGCGGAACACCTGAATGGAGCTCGCGGACCACTATCTGAGAACCTCTGGTCTAAGCTATATTTCTCTAGTTTTTTTTATGAGACGGTCATGTGAGACAGTATCAAAAGGCTTACTAAAGGCTTTTTTGATGAGATGTCTGTTGCATCAACCGCTGATTGAAATGCGGTTCTGGCCATCAGCTTACCTTCCTCAATAAGAGCCTGGAACTGATTTCTGTCTTGCCGTGACAGCTTTTCTACAGTTTGTGATCTTGGAATAGTTCAGATAGTCATACTTAGCCAATAGGACAGGATAGTTTGCTATTCTGAACAGAAGGCTAGTGGATGTGAAGACCTTCCTTCCCAACAAGTCTACATGTTTAGCGTCCTTGTCAGGGGGAGTGGATTTTGGATGTTGTCTAGATCAGGGTTTCTCAACCCGTGGGTCTGGACCCAAACTGGGTCACCAGAATGCTTCAAAGGATTGCGTGGAACTCCTGTGGCTCCTGTCCCATGACGAAGCAGCAGTTCTGGATCCTGGAGGTTCCGACCCAGGCCATGCTTGACATTTCACACCAATAGGCCCATTTTAGAAGGCAATCCTAGTTGTGCAGTTGCTACCAAGCACCACAATAATTCAAAGAACAGGCATGGCAGGGCACATTTCCTATCAACCTCACCAGCCAGCACGCCCCAGCCCTGGCCTAGATGAACCTGTTCAAGGCATGAGACGGGAACTCAGTCTCCACGGTCCATTCTCAGTTCTTGGCTTCTCCCCTGGGACTCCCAACAAGGGAGTCTGTTCTTGTGGTGTGGACAGGTGAGACTCTTTTGTAACACTCCAGTGGGACAGTCACACTAAACAGAGGCTGAAATAGTATAACGTTCAACATCTGATAACAAATGTACCTGTAGTATCTCCAAGACAGAAACAGACTGAAGAACCCCCACATAATGTTGCAGCAAAGTGGTTTCCGTTATGCCGGGCTTTGTCATGATGTGATAGAGCACAGCTTCCATCATTCCCTTACACACTGGTTTATTCAGATTCCCGTCCACGATTCGCCACGGTCTCCCAATGAAACAGACATTTTCACAGGCCCTGCAGAGGGACAGTAAGTTCCACTTTGTCAGTTGCAGTTTTAAAAATGAAAAATGCAAACTGCTCGCTAGATAGAGGCGTCTCTTCCATTTCCCTGCACTAGCAAAGCACCCATATGAGAAGCAAAAATAATAGCACTCTCATATATAATCTTTCTGTGATTCTGTGCAAACACATTGGGCTGCAGATCACTGTCCTTAGTCCCTGCATGGCTCTCCTGAAATAAATGTTCCACCCAGCTACCAGAGTCCCAGGGTCAGAAGTACTGCTTGCTAGGCATACCCCCTTGAGAGTGATCTGGGAGTGAGTTTGTCACAACAAAGCATCCTAGTGATGGCCAGTTTGCTGGTGAGTGACAGTGTTTTTAATCTGGCAGTGAGCGTGGAGACCGGTGCTAGTTTCTATTCAGCTTCCATGGTGGTTTGACCCCAGAGCTGAACTGAGTAAATAAATGTGTGCGCGCGTTGGATGGAAACTCTACCTTAGGGCTCCTCCCACCACATTGCAGGAGGTAGGTAATGTGTGTTTTCAGCAAGGGACTTTAGTTCCATATCATGGTTTCTGCATAGCACCAGTGGGAATGCTTAGTGCTCAGTGCCAATCAATGAAGCAGAAGTGCTCAGCTAACATGCTTGGCTATTTTTGCTGGATGCACTGGCAAATACTGGGACAAAGCAGGGGGAGAGCTGGTTACTGTCAAGAGTTACTGGGGCAGGGAAAAAAACAAGTCCCTCATACCCCAAAATACATAGCAACCTCTAAACCAGGCTGCAAAGGGCAAAGAAAGAAGAGATTTGTCCCTTCCCCAGTGCACACACCTTCCCAGGTACCAACAGTCCCAACTGCCCTCACCCCCTACCATTTCTGCAATGAAGTTGAGCTGACAATACAAAACTCTATAGCACATTAAAGATTATGGGGGTAGTAACAAATAAACCAACTAATAAAAACCCACCAGGAAGCCTACCTGATTGGATTGCTCATTTCATATAATTTTTAATTCAATATAATCTGCATTTCTGATATATCGATCTGCTGCTGAAACCACGGTGCCAGAGTGTGTCACAGGGTGCACTTCACATCCATGCCCAAAAATGATGCTGGCTTTCACTCTGCTCATGGGCCCAATTCAAGGAAACAGCTCTTTAATGCCCTACAAGGCTACACAAGACTCCTCTCTCTGTGTTGTGTGTCAACAGCAGAGATCAGCCGAGGTACTGAGTCCCCTGATTTAACATCTTCGAGGTGACGGCCAGGTTCTTGACTGGAATCTACCACTCCGATATTGTTCTATTCCCTAGACCAGTGGTTCTCAAACTTTTGTACTGGTGACCCCTTTCACATACCAAGCCTCAAAGTGCAACCCCCCCCTTTATAAATAAAAAACACTTTTTAATATATTTAACACCATTATAAATGCTGGAGGCAAAGCGGGGTTTGGGGTGGAGGCTGACAGCTCGCGACCCCCCCATGTAATAACCTCGCGACCCCCTCAGGGGTCCCGACCCCCAGTTTGAGAACCCCTGCCATAGACCCTCACTTGGGGAGCAGGGCTTAATGAGCATTAAGTTTATTTGAGTGTAGGGTGGAGAGGATTACTTCTGTTCCTTAAGAACATAAGAATGGCCGTACTGAGTCAGACCAAAGGTCCATCCAGCCCAGTATCCTGTCTGCCGACAGTGGCCAATGCCAGGTGCCCCAGAGGGAGTGAACCTAACAGGTAATGATCAAGTGATCTCTCTCCTGCCGTCCATCTCCACTCTCCGACAAACAGAGGCTAGGGTTCCTATAAACACTAGGTTCCTTCTAGTGTTTACAATATGTTGGGGACTTTCAGAAGTGCCCATGCCCCAGAGACATTTCGAATGGCCATGCTGAGGGGCAAGGAATCTGAAGTAACAAGAGGAAGAGGACGAGATAGGACAGCGAGTCCCAGTCTCCAGAGTCCTTCCATGCACTCTACACTAGCGCCAAGTGTACACTTTCCACATCTGCTTTTGTAGTTGTTATTTTGCTAATATATTGTATTATATTATACATGATATTATTTTTCTAAATGATTGCATATATAAGCATGATATGCTTATTATTTAATGGTTCTACAGACTTCTCTTTACTCACCTTTCCCGTACTGCCTGGGGTAGATTTGTCAAAGAATCTTCTGAAGAAAGATCAGAAAACATGTAATGAGCACCAGAAAAAAAAAAAAAAAAAGGACATACAGATTTTATATTAACTGCCATAAATCACTATTCACTATTAATGAAAAAGCAGTAAGAGAGGTGTCTGTTTTCTGCTATAGCACGAAGCTATGAGGTTTGGGACTAGTGAATTTATAGGTATAAGCATATAGCTTGCGAACTAGTCTATATCCCTTATGAATAAAACTCCTATGCACCTTTAGAGACTTCAGAACTTTCCCGTGGGTGAGATGCATCATCAAGCGACATGTTCAAAGCTGTATCTCTGGCTGTATGTTCAAAGCTAGGCATCTGCCTTTCCTCCTCATTAGCTGCAACACTATCATCTACTGCAGTCTCTTGTTCTTCAGAATTGGCTTTATCTTGCTCTTTATCTTTACCAGTGACAGATTCTGGTCCGTGCACAGGATGTTGCACATAGTGTCCTGTCTGCCCTCTGAAAGGACCCATTCCTTCATGTGCAACTAACACCCCTTTCACCTGCGTGGGCTCAGTTAAACTTGCATCAGGGGCTGCTTCAGTTGCTCCTTCTGAACAGCTCTTTATGTCCTGATGGAATTCAGTGCCATCTTGAAGCCCACCATGTTGAGTCTTGAATCTTTTCCTTGGGGGTCCTTCATCACTGACAACAGGTGTTAAGACTTTGCCAGGCTGTCCCTCTTCCCTTGAAGATGCCATCCCTCTCTTTGGCTCTGGCTGCTGAGAGTTCTGTTGTAAATCCAAGTGAGTGACGGAGTCTTTGCCCTGCAGACCAGCACCACCAACTTTATTCTTCAGACAGACTGAATACAACAGCCAGGGTTTGGCAAATGTCATTGCAACCAATCGTACAGTGTTCCCTCCCACTTCTAACACCTGTTCCATCTTAAGGAGGTCCTGAAAAAGAAACAAGTTGTATCTTTAGGTAGCGCTGTGGAATACCAGTATGTATCAAAACTTCCTGGAATTCCCATTATTGTAACCAGTTGCAAGAGTGCCTTGCCAAACTCTCAGTCCCTTTTCAACTCTCCTGTCCTATAGACTTAAAAAAGGGAATAGCTCCATTGCTTAATCGCCTCTGAAACTACAGCAAAGATTCGAAATATTCCTGTGAGACTGACCATGGTGCCCTAGGTGAGTGCAGTCACTCATCCAACTTTTTCATTTAGTGCCACCATATTTTCTGGTCTTCAGTGAGACAAACACAGGATGTATGAGGTGAGATGACCATTGGTTGTTGACTGGAAATCTCACTACTAAATTTATCACATAGAAGAAGTAATTCTGTTCACATTTGTTTCACATGGATTAGATGTCCTTCCTATTCAAAAAGAGTGCTATGGAGTTCACATATATATATGTGGTGATGGAGATGCAAACCAACCTGAATATACTGCTGTAAACTCCTGGTGCGTTCGGTGTCAGCTTCTTCATAGCAGTGGAACTGTTTGCCCAGTTCTGCCTTGTCAATCCCGAAGGAAGAGGATGCCTCAATAGCATTATGGATCTCCAGGACAGCAGATACATCTTTGGAGCTATACCCATAACACTCTGTACACTGGAGGACAAACTGATCTACGTCATAAGTCGCTTCCTGGACTTTTAGCAGCCTGGTAAAAGCATCAGGGAGGCACGAGATTCCTACAGCCATGTTATCAACCACAGAAGGAACTGCAAAGTAAAACAGAATGAGTGTATTAGTCTAGATAAAGACAAAAATCTTCCTGTACTAAAGTTACCATACATTGGATGACAGAAGGATCAAAAATCTTTCCAGGCTCCTCTGTCAACAAGTCTTTTCTTAGACTCTTCAATTAAAAATATAGCTCAATGTTCCATATTCACCACTGCAAATTCCTTTTTTCTATATGCCCTCCAAACTTGTGTATGAAATGGGCTGCAGAAAAGGAACCATCAAGTTGGCTTACAAAGGCTCTAACCCCAAGCCAGTATGAAATATCAGCGAAGGAGAGACTGGACTCTTGCAGTCTCTCTCTCTCTAGCTCTGGGAGACTTGGGAAATCCTGTAAATGAACAGATTTAAGAGTGTTCTGCTATGTCTTTGAAGGTGGTCAGTAAAATCACAACTGGAGAGCCTAGGGCAAAAAGACAGACTCTGGAGAAGTGACTCCTTTGGTAGAAATGAGTGACAGAAGCCAATGCAGAGTAGAAAGCTATTGGCCAAGTCTGATAAAGAACATGGAATGAAAGGTCACGCCACCATGAAGACACTAGAAAAACTGAGTGGTTTTTGCCTTAACGAGAGGCTCTTTATCAGTTAGCTCCAAACTACACACTGTTTTCAAAAGTGACTTTTCTGGTCCAGGATGCTGGGGGTGGGGGAAAGGACAGATATGACACCATTCTTAATTCATTCTTTGCTCCCACCTTTCTTTTTCTGGTGTTTACAGATAGCCCTATTGGGCACTGTGACATAACACCTGCTCTCCTTTGATGGCCAAAGTCAGGTGTTCAAGAGGAACGGGAAAGTACTGCAATGAGCTGGCAACCTGATTGACCCATACAGGGATTGTATGGTAACAGGACTTCAGGAACGGGGGCTTTCAGATTCTTGTTGTGACAGATGTGAATAGCATAGGCAGGGACAGCAGCAGGCCTTCCATTACAAACCAAGAAATCCTTCCTGGATACATCTGTCTTGAGCAAAGACCATCACCACTCTTGTGGTTAAGGCACTGGACCAGCACTCTGGCAGAGCTGAGAACTGAATCCAGATCCCGCAACTCCCTGTGCGACCGTGGGAAAAACTGCACTCCTTGCCTGAGAGTTCCCTGTGGGTAAAATGGAGATAAATTTTCCCTTTCTCCCACTCTTTGTCTGTCTTCCCTACTCAGATTGTCTCCTGTTCTGTGTTTGTGCAGCTCTGAGCACAATGGGGTCCCGATCTTGGCTGCAGCTTTTAGACACAGATACTAAACAATGAGTACAGCTGATGACAGGTCTCAAGAATTAGAGTTCTGAATATTAACAACATTTATATTGCAGCAATGTCTAAAGGCCACAGCCAGATCAGGCGCCGTTGTGTTAGGTACTGTATAAAATACAAAATAAGCGAGAGTCCCTGTCCCAAAGAGCTTTTCAAGGAGATTGGCTCAGTCTCCTTACAGAAGAGGAAACTTGGAGGTAACACAAAAGAGGTTTTAAAATTAGGAAAGGGACTGATAGGTTCACCAAGTAGCAGGCATGTTTGGCTTAATGACCGCACACAAAGTGGGATACACACAAAGAGCTAAGTTACCAAGGAAGCTGATCAAAGCAAGGTGCATTAATAAAACTACATTAGAGTCAGAAGAATGAAATACCCCAATAAGTAGTATAAGAATACAGGAAGAATCAGATATTTTAGAAGTATGAAAGGAGATGATCCTGCTAGGAGATTGCATAAAAACACTGCCTCCATTCCCCTGAGTTTGCAAGCACAGAATGACATCCATTCCAATTTGTTTTACTTGTTTACACACATACAGAAACTAACCTGAGGTACTGAGCCTCCCTGGCATTGGGGCACATCTCAGCTTGATCTTCACTTGGCAAGAATTGACCACGATATTGTCGTTGGGGTTCAGATTGCGTGTGCTGACGATTCCTGGTGCATAGTACCCTCTCATGAGTAAGTAATTGGTATGAGATGCTTGACGAGCTTTTACCTCTATTCTCCGTTTGTTTCCAGAGCTCTCATCCAAGTCATCATCTTCATCATAGTCATCCTCAAGACCATCTTTTCCCAAACTGCAGGAAATGTACTGTTAATCTTTTGCCACTTTCTTCCAAAACAAGAGATTTTTTTTCAATAATTTATTTCATTTAAACTAAATCAATTAAAAGGATCGATGATGAACACACAACACTACAGTAATGCAACATTCCAGCTATGATTTTAACCACGATCAGGAAATTCAGAAATGAGGTTGCTGACCCAGTCAAATGTATGTATTGCAATAAGGTCTTTCATTACACAACATCAAGAAAGATCACATTCTGCTCCGCACTCCAGGATGTTAGTCATTTTCAAAATACAGCCCATAGATGACTGCTTTGCTGTAGAGCTGTTCATAGCCTGCTGAATGAAATGCTTAGAACCAGACAGTAAAAAGGAATTGCAAGAAAGCTTGGAAGAGGGACTCCCCTTTCTGTGAACTTTTAATCTGTAAATTCTTTAAAAACAATCCCAATGCATCAGCTCCAACTACTGAACAGTCAGGGTACATGGTCATTTCATCAGCTACATTATGGAGCTTTGAGATGCCTCCCCCCATAGAGGGCTAGATCTGTATCTGGTTTCCATTGTGTTCATCACTGCCGAGTTCCTTCACAGTATGCCTTTGTATCCCATATTCAGGTATTTGATTATTTTCCTGGATTTATGCTGTATATTAATGATTTTATTAGCAACACTTAATGGCAGAGCTCTCCTTTCCACCAGCTGCCTGGTCTTCTCATTATTTCTTAGGTTTCCCATCCTTTGGAGCCACAGCAAGTGCACAGTGTAAATACCATGCAGACAATTTCTTTCCCACAAATCACAACATGAGTCTCCAGCAGAGCTGAAACCCACATAGAAAACATAACAAAAACAACAATACATGGTAATTCCCTGAAACAGTTAGGTTGGTACAATGGCAATGAGCATGTGCAATTGGCACAGCTAGGCTATGCTGCCCTGCTTATCTCTGAAAACTGTGATGAAGTCTTTGGCAATTCTATCTTCACCACAGGCATGTTCTTTCAGGGTAATGTGGAAGTTAACACATTCCAATGCTCAGATGAAAGACTAACAAGTGCTGTTAAATCTTCAGGATGCTCCCTGAAAACATCCAACATTGCCACTGGAAAGCATGTGCTGAAATGCAGAGCAGAATATTCCCGTGTCTGTTGTCAATTTCATTCAGCAAGTTATACACAGCCCTTATTTGGATCAGAGCATTAGTGTTTACCTTTTGATGACTTCATTCTCCACCATAGTGCTGTCCACCACGATTATTTGGTCTGGGATCCTCACATCCACAGAAATAAGACCCAGGGAGAACAGGGAAAGAATTGCTACACAATGACCTCCGGGGCCATCCATAGGAAAAGTTAGCATGCCTGCTGAATCTTTGGCTTCTTGATCCTTGAATGAAAAGCTATCGGGTTCATCTGATTTTCCAGCTTCCTTGAGCTTCTCTAGGAACTGGAAGGATTCTGTACAAATTGTACTGGGAAACCGCCATGTGAAGACTCTGGACACAAAAACAATTGAATGAATCTATACAGGGTTTGTATTACTGGGCAGAAATCCCCACAAAACAGCAAAACCCCCCAAAAGGAAATGCAACAGTCTATGTTCCAGGCTGTAGCAAAGCATCCCAGCGCAAAGAAAAGCCCTCCATTGGCCTAACAGCTCTTATGCTACCCTCTCCTTAATGCAGTTTCCAGCACAAGGGGTGTGGCTGGAAGAAAATAGGCTTAGTTCCCTACAATTCTCTGATGATCCCCCAGCTGCCATTTCAGCTATTCTAACCTAAGCCTGGGGACTAACTGAAGGCACACATTTAAACCACCTTTACACCCTCAACTCCTGCTGTGTGCTCCTTAGCTATAACAGAGGATCTGGTCCCTTGCTTCTAGTTTCTCATTGTTTCTATTCCTTGTTAAGTAACAGAGTTATGTATTTTATCCTCTATGCAAAGCATGTTTGGATACATTACTGCGTTAGCTCTATACAGTACAGCAGACTTTGCTGGACACTCACCTGTAGTAGCTTTGAGATAGTTGATATGACATAGGCACAAAGGGCAAAGCCCGGCTTTTCTTTGGACCCAGGGTATGGTTAACCCGACGGCGATTGACCAAACTTCTCTTCTGACATTCTAAGAAAGCCTTCACAAGAATGTCATCCTTGTACTCACGGTACAGCCGAAAGGTCTGCAACACACACAGTTTAAATGCCAGATTAACAGCAAGGATACGTTAATAAAATCCACATATTGCAGCCCAAATGAGAAACTCTTCAGCTCTGTAGAGCAATGTTACATCCAAATCAGAACAGTGACTCAAGGCAAGTTAGACAGAGAGCAAAGTCATCCCTGTAATGTCCAGATGCTATTGTGGGGGGAAGCACTATAAATATGATAGCCATTACTGAGATACTGGAGTGAGCTTTATGGGTAATCTCAGGTACTGACCTCATAAATACCAAGCATTAGCTCTCTATTCTGTTGTGTTTTTTTCCAGAGACCTAGTCACTATCACGAACAACAAATTATTTTATGAGATATGCTATTTATGGAGAAATTTATACCCAAATAAAACAAAGATTCACTTGTTTGCTCAAGAGGCAAAACAAATTCCATTCAATTTACATGGCGGTTTGCGTGCATGCAGATCCTGCTAAGAACTAGGAAACCATTTATTTGGAATTAATAGCCTGGTAATCAAGTCTGTATGAGTTGTTTATAAATTGTCAGTTACATTTTGAGTATGAAACCACAAATCAGAACTTACAGTTGAACGTAAGCTTAAGGACATATATACACGTTTATATTGCATTTACAGGGTTTCCTAGAAACCGAAACCAGTAAATTCCAGTGATGTGAACCAAATTCTATAGAACTTTGTAAACAGAGTGCCGGTTTGATATTTCAAAGGTAAGTATTGAGATCAGCTCCTGTTATGATTGCACATTTAAAATTCTTTATCTGTTTTTCTCATTAAAAGGATCACAGCACTTTCAATGCACTTCAAATGTTTGCATAATTATCTATGTGGAAGTATGCCATGACAAACACAATCCCATATAATATCTTTGGGAACCTCATTTTATTAACGTTATGACTGGTTTACGTATGATTGTGTTCTTCTCCATGGAGGAGGGTTACCACAGTTCCTACAGGAACTAAAACAGTGGGAGGTGATTAAAGTGAATCACTGAGACTAAACAACTCTAGAGAGGTACCACCCCCTGGGGAGGCTTGCATATACTGGTTCAAGCTGGCTTTTAGGCAGTCTGGCTTGCAGGGGATATAACAGTGTAAGGCATGGAGCTGTGCAGCCTTAAACCCTCCAATCGGAAGGACTGGGACGAGGGTCCCTACCCAAAGACAGGTGATGGTAGGAGACCTGAGATCTGATTGGGAACTCCTGGAGTGGATCACAGGGGTGAAGGGGGAGAGAAGGGGGGGGGAGGAAGGGGAATACAGGTGTAGTTACGCTGAAACAATTTCAAAGGTAAATACTGAGATCAGCTCCTGTTAGGATTCCAAATTTAAAAAAATCTTTATCTATTTTTCTCATCATTAAAAGGATCACAGCATTTTCACTACTCAATGATCTTTGTGGAATTATTTATGTAGAAGTACGTATTCTGGAAGTTGAGAGCCATGAACCGGTCTTGAGCTTGGAGCGATGGAGGGAAGTGTTACCATTCTGAACCTGAGACATGTACATATTTGTTCAGTCTGCTCAAGTCTAAGATAGAAGAAAGAGGGTTTTCGTCCTTCGGAATGAGGAAATACCGACAGTAGATGCCGTTACCCCTATACTCTGGAGGAACCTCCTCTACAGCTCCTAGATGAAGCAATGAGACCACACTGCTGATTGTAATAGGCTCTTATGAGAAGGGTCCCTGGAGAGGGATGGGGAAACTATGGGCAATAATCTCTAAAATCCATCTATTGGCTGTCAGGGCAGACAACACCCAGTTGAATGGGATGAGGTGGCTTCCGAAGGTTATGTTCTCTCTAGACTTGGTTTGATGCAGCTCTCAACTATCTTATCAAATCTGCTGACGTGTCAAAGCAGCTGTGTGCATTGCCAGGGAAGAGGAAGGTTGGTGCCTCATGTTGTATGGTGCATGCCTTTTGGCTCGCTATTTCATCTGCCTGGGGCGCTAAGATGGTGTGCGCTGTCTCAGCCGTGGCTGGGGATGGTACGGCTTGCAGTGTGAAGGAGAGGTGTAAGTCCCCAGAGACTGCAGGAAGCACTGGAGTCATTCAGTGAGTGCGGAGTGTTGTCCATCCTCTTGATGAACAGCTCTGTGCCCTCAAAGGACAAGTCCTCTGTCATGGCCATGGGCTTTAAGAGGGAACTGAAGGAGCGTTACAACTGCCCTGCCCTTTATGCCCTTATATGGGAGCATGCGGTAGTACAGGACACGTGTGGCCCCACTGGACACTGCTAGTCACAAAGATCAGGTTGTGTGTGCATGAGGCGCATGCGCACCTACAGTGGGATCCACTCTGACAAACTTGAAGAACTTTGTTATTTCCATCACAACGTATTGCAGAAAAAGTGAAATAAAACCAAAATCGTACGGTACCTGAAATGACTGGCAGGACTTCATTTGATTATCTGAGAGTGCCAAAGTACTCTGAATCAGGTTCTGGAGCACTAGGAAGTGAATATCATAGATACTGAAAGAAAACAATCACATTACATTATTCAAGGCATTCTGAGCATGAAGCACCCAATCATTAAACTAACGCAGTAATATTTAAATGGAGTGTTTGCCTGTAATGTTTGCGCACGCACACGCGCACGCGCACACACACACACACACACAGTTAGCCACAATGTTGCTACATCTGAATTCCTAACGAAATGGGGACATTTCCCTACCTGCTACGCTTTGTTTTTTCAAGAACTTTATACCAGGCCAGGATAGTTGGATCATAGCTCCTCCCAATCAGCCCATGCAGACAGAACTCTTAGGGTTTTTGATGATATCACCCCTCCCGCCCCCCACAGAAGGATCTAGCTATCTCCCACCCTTCATTTGGCTGATTCAGAAGCCATATGCATAACGAAAACAGACTGACACCATACTTTAACGAACATAACACTTCAGTGAGCTTTTTAAATGACTCACAATAAACATTGGGTACCAACATTCCCAAAGGGTCTGGATTGTTATAGATCTTGAATGAAAATTGGCAGATAGAGAAAACTTCCCTTTCTCTCTTCTATACTTGTTCAGAAGCTTGGGACCATCCAAGACAGTTTACAGCCTAATAATACAGGTGGAATTAGTGCCTAACTGCTGCCTATGAAACCCTTCTGCCAAAGGCCACAGCTGCAGAAATAGGCACTCCTTGTCTACAGTGTTTTACAAACAAGAGGGACTGTAATACTACTACTACTTATGACTCCATTCCTTAGACTAGGTGGAGAAGATTAATTTGGGGATAGACCCGTGACTAATTAGATGAATTTAAGTAACAGAGAATGTAAGATGAATATCCAGAGAAGGCTTCCTGAGAATGAAGTGGGCCAGGCTGTGGAACTATCTCCCCCTGCTTGGCAGTCAGAAAACTAAACTGGACAAAACTCTGGTAAGCGTACAATAGGGGAAATTCTGCTGTGGCAGGAAGATGGGGTTGTCTGATACCATGGTCACGAGCACACTTATAAACACCTCAAGTCATCGTGGAAGCTTAAGCTGGTAAAGCTAGCAATGGGAGCACACCACACCTGTGCTCCATGATCTGCACTGGCTGCCCGCTGATTTCAGGATAGAATTTAAGTTGTTGGTTTTGACCAACAAAGCCCTAAATAGCCCGGAACCCAACTTATTTGATATGTTGCCTCTCTCCTCATGACATACCGCTGCAGCTGTAATCAGTGAAGGTACTTCAGTTGGATTCCCATAGATCAAACTTCACTGCACCGTGACCCCCTTCTGACAACAAAAATTACCACACAACCCCAGGAGGGGGGGACTGAGGTCGCTGAAGCCCTGCTGCCCTGCGTGGGGCAGGCCAAAGCCAAAGCCTGAGCCCCACTGTCCAGGGCTGAAGCTGTTGGGCTTCAGCTTCAGCCCTAGGCAGTGGGGCTCGGACTTTGGCCCCAGGCCCCAGCCAGTCTAAGCCAGCCCTGGTGACCCCATTAAAATGGGGTCCCAACCCATTTTGGAGTCCTAACCCACTTTCTAAGAACTGCTGCCATAGATTTTAAAAAGAGAGGGAGCGGATGGTAGACTGATCTGTGTGTGAGGCCCTCAGCTTTGGAACCAGCTTTCCTCTTGGTCTGAAACAGCTTGGACCTGACTGAGTCGCAGGGCATGCTGCGAATCTATCTGTTTACTAAAGCTTTTGGAGAGGAAGGGGTTGATGGGGAGTTGGTGAAAGGCTTTGTTGAGTTTTAGAATCCTCTCTGTAGCCTATGTCAAAAGTGCCGATAGCCTTAACACAAGCAACTTAACTCCCAGGCTCTAATGGGAAAGGCCTCTAACTCTCCCTCACCTGTTGAGAGCATCCTGTTTGATGCTTTGATTTGCTTCATCTCCGATGGCCAAAACTCTGAACCTGGTTAAGAGAGAGTAAAAACGAAACATTTAATACAGAAAATAGTATGCCCTGTATCACACACAGAGCCCCTGATTTTATATTAACCCTTGAAACGCCAAAGGCTGATATTTATCATTGTGTATCTTGACACATAACCTGCTAAAACAATGTTGGGGAACCACCTGTCCTAGCAGACCTCAACAGAGGTGTCAAGGACTGAAAGAGCTCTGGAGATGAATTCCCCTGTCTCCAAGAAGCTGTTTGTCCACATCCAGACTGAAGCACATGGGGAGGAAGCAGCCTGGAGCCACTGTCTATGCTGTAGATACAAAATACTTCTGTCTACAGGGCTGGTGTGTGGAAAGAGAGAGAATTTTTGTATTAGAGAGGGAAGGCATCTGCTCTTATCATCCCCTGATGTGAAGGAGTGGAAGGGACTTAAATGTCATTGGGTGCTAGAATGTCTAGTTCCCAGTCCCAGTGTATTCTGCAGATGAGCAGTTCCTCTCAAAGTCAGGGAAGTTAATGAGGTGACTAACTTTGGGACACCAAGAGGATAAGGCCAAAATTTTCATGCTTGGCTACCTAAATTCCCCATCTGTAGATGGGCACACTGATACTTATCCTTCCTTGTAAAGTGCTTTGCAATCTATGCACGAAAAGTGCCATATAAGTGCTAAGTATTACTATTACAGCAACAAGGGATGTGATGTGTCCACTCTTTTAGGAATCAACATTAATACTTCTTTTTTATTATTTAATGGAGACACCAACTACAAATCCCAGTGTAAAATCATGCCACATAATTTGTGCAAAACAGTAAGTGGTTTGTGACAGTTATCCAAGTACTCAAAATGTTTTCTCTAATAGAAATATGAACGACATTAATGAAAACTATAATAAAAATGTTCAATATAAAATGCAGATTAATATCTGGTGAACTGATGAGAGTAATTAAAAACGTAGAATCGTGATTTCAGAAATGTATGTTAATGAACAACTTTTCTTTGAAAACCAAACTGAAAAAATTTTGATACCATGATTCCAGGTGCTCTCAAAAAGTCTGAAATTCTTGACAGCAGACTCTATATCTGGTCCTGATCTCACCTTTGCATATGACATGAGAACATCTTAAGTAAAATACCTGCAATACAGCTCCTGCAATGTATCTGGAATTTCAAGTTTGGGATTCCCTAGGGTTGAACTGAATTTCTCTTTAAGTCTCTCCACAAAGTCTTTAAACTCTTTTGCACACACCTTTCAAAACAAGAGATTGAAATATTAAACACTTAACAGGTATATTTCCTTCAGTGCAAAGGGGCAGTAGGACTTCCCTATTTCATATTCATAACTGGAAGACCCATTGCAAATGGCTACAGTTTATGGATTAGCAAGTAGGGGAAGCAGCACAGTAAATGAGCCAGGATAATGTGTCATGAGATGTACCCTGTACCTTTATTTATTTAACAAATGCTGTTTCATAGTTATGAGTAACTAAATAACATACGAAGTATCCTATCGACAGTGTATTCTGTAAAAACAATGATATCTCATTACCAGTATGACAGCTTTCTCAGAAGAGCCCTGATTTAAATCTCATCTGGTTGGAGATTTTTCTGTGTACCAGCCATGCTGCACAGATTATCAGACTGTGAATTTGTGAGGTTCCACTATTTGTCTCTTCAAACAAGTCTGGCTTCTAAAAGCATTGCTGGAAAGAGCCCTAGTATATTGCAGGGGATGGCTGGTCCAGATATCTCATTGGGAACATTCCATTTGGTTCCAGAGAAAGAAAGACAAACAGGGACCGGCAGGAAGAGAAATGGAAGAAAGAGGGAAACAAAACAGTAACAGCTGGAGACAAAGAAAGACAGGGATTAGACACCCCCGCCCCCTTCTCTTTGTTATAAAGGTTGACACTAGAAACTAAATGCAGGAAGATACTAAGCTCACAGTTTGCTGAAAAAGGAAGTTTTTCCTTTGCAGTTTTTCCCTCTGAGGTTTTTCTACTCCTTAACTTTTACTTTGTTTTTTCTTTCCTGTGCTCTCTCTGAACACAGCAAGGGAGGAAGTGCAAATGCAAGAAAGACGGTATTCTCTTCTAAAGGCTGATACTGCACTCTGGTGGCACAGTCAGGTCAGCAGGCTTTTAGGTTATGAGTCACAGTGCTATTTAACAAGCATATACTGGGAGCACAAGCATCAGAAAACCTGCTCCGTTCTCTTCAGCATGCAGGTCACAGGCTGGGTGTAGCTCACAACCAGAAGCAGCCCAGCAGCAGGGCACTCTGGTTACTTTAGATGCTGGCTGCCCAAAACCACATTCCAATTAGCAAATCAGGCCTTTTGGTGATGTCAGGTCAGGATGAGTCATGGGGATGACATTGCCAGCACCTCATTTACATCTACAGGATCTATAATTCCAGCATGCTGGGGAACGGGGGGAGAGGGAGGCTAAATTATTATGCTGGGAAGCAGAAAAAGAGGAGATTTTGACTAAGTAAATACTACAGGCAGCAGGTGCAGAGTGCTTCTGCAATGACCCACCCCTCCAGCCCAGCTGCTGTGCTTTGCAGGCTGCTTCCAAACTTGTCAAGGTCCTGGACTGAGCCTGGGAATAGCTCCCATGTCAACTAGATAAAAAAAGAAGTTCAGCCGCCTGTGCAAGCCTTCCAAGGATCTCCCCCAGGCTGGAGGAGAAAGATGGCACTTTCTTGTGCAGCTTGAGGAGAGCTAGTGGCTGAATTTCACATAGAAATACCCTGGCCATGGCCCTCAGTGCTGCAGAGGTGGCTGGGTTACCTTTTTTGTTAATCAAGTGAACTCATGTCCAGCACCCCACCCATCCTACATCATCCCAGCTCTCAGAATCTCCCTGCCACTCTCTAGCTGAGCATCAGAACATAGTCAGCACTGCCAGCCTTGTAAGCAGATTGTCTCATGCTTCTTGCCTGCCTACCACCACCCCAGGCCTCTGTCCAGGATTTTCTGCTGTCAGCTTCCAGCTAGTTCCTTGGATACCTGGTCTTGTCTCATGCCAGACCATGTTGCCTCCCTCCTGACTTCGAGCCAGAACATTCAGACAGTAAGTATATCAGGAGATGCAGGAGGCACCAGAAATGCAAGACAGAGAAAGAGGGAGGCAGAACAGTCTTGGGGAGAGCTGATCCCAACCAAGCCCACGCTACAGCTTTGGGAAACTATTCCTCATCTCTTGGCCTGCAACACCCATTAGCCTCACTCCACAAACTTTAGGAATCAGCTGGTCACCACACCAGCAGCCCCATAGCTAAGGGTTAAAACAGCCTAGCCACTTGCAAAGCACAGCAGCTGGGCTTTATGCGGCTGGTCCATTAAGAGAAAAAAATCAAAGAGGCAATTGTTGTTTTAGCCATGTTCACCTCCCACTCTGTACTGTAGGGGTTCCACTGGGAGCTAATCCTTTGATAAACAAAACGGAATGGCTAGATAACAGTAGAGCTAGTTGGGAATTTTCCAACAGAACATGTTTTTCTATAATCAAATTCCAACTAGTCAAAACCCAAACTGCAGAAAAGGCTGGTTTCAACATATCGCATGCTTTGAAACACATTTTGAAAAAAGTGTTGAACTAGTCAAATAGTGCCATTTTGACATTTTCAAAATGAAAAGTTTCATTTCTTGATTCAAAATGACTTTGTTTAAAAATGTTAATTTATACTACAAAAGGTAACAAAGGGGGTGAAATGAAAACAAAAATGCATTGATCGGCCCAATCTGAACATATTTTCTTAGTATCAATTTGCAAAAGGAAAAAAAAAGTTTGAAATTGACTTTTGATCTCAATTTGGGAAAAATTTCAAAATTTTAAAAATTATCATGGGATGGGTAAACTTTCCCACACAGCTCTACATAACCAGTAACAAGACTGGTGGGAAGATTTGGGGCAACTGACACCAAATGGATAATCTGTGGAAGCATAAATTGGCCCAAGAAAAACTAGCTTTGAGGCTAGCTTGGTGGTACAGATCTGTATGCTAGGCATCCAAGGGTTAAAGCAGACTCTCTTGCTGCACAGCAGTGCTGCTTTCTTGCTATTTGGAAGGCTAACCATGTCCATCTAACTCCCAGAATAGCGGTGATGTGGAGCATGAGTCTGTTTTTAGGAGGTTGACAGCACAAAGGGAAGAGACAAGAGGTGAATCATAGGAATCCAAATACAGTTCCATGGAAATGTTATGTTAACCACTGTCTCCTTTTAGAATACCTTTCCTCCTACCTGTGGGTCTTGGTAGTTATCTTCCCTCTTCATGAAATCCTCAATAAGAGCTTTATCTTGGTAAACTTCAGCAAGGCAAACTCTGCAACAAATAAGTGTAAAAGTGTTCACAATTCAGTGTGGGTCACAATTCACAACTTGATGCATCAGAAAACATGCACACAACCTCTTATTTGGTTTGCCATTTCTATGCGCCCTGGAGTGCAGTATCGATGCTGCTGGCTGAGAAAGTCTGCCTATTGGATGACACACATGCCAACGTCTTCAGTGCAACTAACCCCAACAACCATATCTTCATCTAAGACCTAAGTTCACTTTTGTAGGAGAAGCTTCTCCACAATGTGAGCATGCTATCATATAAGAATAAGGGAACTGGCATAACAGGGTCCCATTACCTCCTCAGCTCTTGGGAAAGAAAAGGGAGAGAAAAGTAGATCTCTGTCTGGATGCAAGGGGCGATGGAGTCTGAAATGATGCATGTCTCTAGAAGGCTAGTCGTAGCTCTGTCAATCCCAGGATATTAGAGAGACGAGGTGGGTGAGGGAATATCTTTAATTGGACCAACGTCTGTTGGTGAGAGAGACAATCTTTCACGCTTACACACAGCTCTTCTTCAGAGCTGGGAAATGTACTCAGAGTGTCACAGCTAAATACAAGATGGAACAGACTGTTTAGCGTAAATAGTTAACGGACCTGAAGAAGAGCTCTGTGTAAGCTCGAAAGCTTGTCTCTCTCATCAACAGAAGTTGCTATAATTACAGCAATTACCTCACCCACCTTGTCTCTCTAGCAGTCTAGTTCATCTGAGACTTAGGACACCCAGGAAACACGCTTGCTAGAGAAGTATGTAGTTATGAATAAATGAGGTTTTCTTGTGATATTTCATTATTTTAGCAGAGCAAATTTGTCCTTCTGGCATGTCCCTACATCTCAATGACAATTAGTTTCAAAAGATCCTGAAGTGCAATCGATAATACCCTAGAATGCAGGTAAACTGGACTTGCTGATCTGTACATGTTAAAAGTTCTCCAGCCAGTCCCATATCTGAACTTCAGCAAAAGTTACATCTCGTGGGTCTGTCTTCCTTATTGTTAATACTTTCTATTTGCTAACTGAAGACAAGTGTCAGAGTTCAGAACCTCAGACATTTTTGAGTCATTAATTTCATCCCCCCTATTTAGTAAGGGAACTACTTTCTTCATTTCCTTTGATATTTTCATAAAAGCCTTTAAAATAAGTTTTATTTATTTTTCAGAAACAAGAATTGTCAAAAGGAAGATGCTGGAGAGACAATTCAGTGTAATTATAAGAATACCACACATGTATACTTATTACTATGCATAACTGATCTGCTGTTACACACCAATAGAAGCATCCGAAGAGGAAAAAGAGGACAGATTTTATCAACAGATAGCACCGTAGATGAGATTTCTGATCATGATATGATTTTGATAATGGGAGATATGAATGCAAAGGTTGGTAGCAGACATGGTACACAAATGAATAATGTTGGACCACACAGCATTGGGACAGCAAATGATAATGCATAAAGGTTAAGAACTTGCTGCGAGATGCTCACAAGATTACATGGAGTTCATCAGATGGTCAAATCAAAAACCAGATTAATCACATCATCACCAGTAAAAGGCACAGACGGTCACTGATGGATGTTAGAGTTTATAGAAATGCTAAGTGTGGCACTGGTCATGAACTACTAATGGGAAAGATGAAGATTAAGTTGAAGTCCAAGAAAGAGAGGGGTGCAACTGGAGCTAAATTTGATTTTGATAAGTTAAAGGATAGCTCTGTGAGGGAGGCATAGAAAGTGATGCTTGGAGGGCATTTCAGGTCATTAATCTGTGATGATGAAGAAATCTCACTACAGGCCGGATGGGAAATATTCAATGAAGTAATAGAAAATAGTGGAGGAAGTTCATGGGAAGTTATCGTACTACTGGCAGACGTGTGAATTAATTACTTTCCTCTTTGCTACCTTGAAACGTTGGTATAGGCGATTTGGAATAAATGCCAAGACAACAAAGTGGTTGTATCTTGGAAAAGGGGCAGATAAAGTGTCGACATGCAGTGGTGGTGAAGTCATAGAAAAAGGTAAATCTTAAGTGTACCTAGGAAACTTGGTCAGTGCCAACGGTTCCGTCAATGATGAAGTTAAAATGATGATGTTTTAGCTACAAGTGCTGCACAGAAATTGATGAAATTATGGGCTGATAAAAACATTACATTTGGAACCAGAGTGAAAGTTTAACAACCCAGTGTACTAACAAAATTACTCTATGGTCTGGAAGCAGCTGCATTAAAAACAGGAGACTGGAGGCAGCAGAGATGAGAATACTCTGAAAGGTGGAAGGTGTAAAGTTGAATGCTTTTAAGACAAATGAAGTTAGAAGGAAAGCAGAATGGGAAATCCAGGTACAGGACTGCGTGCACTTGAAAAGATTACAATGGTAAGAACACTGGAGAAGACAAACAGATGATAGAAAATAATGCAAACACAACAAAGGTCAGTCTGACCGAATAGGTGGAGGGACATTGTACACAGGGACATGACCAGGCTGGGTTTCATGGAGGAACAAGCCAGGGATAGGAATGAATGGTGATGCTGTACTGCTCCCTGTGTCTGCAAAGGCGCTTGGAGATGAAAAGATGATACTTATTCTAGGCAGAGCAGGTACTGTCACCTATTAAGATTACCTGATTTCCCATCATAAGATCCTTATAGCTTTGCCAAACTTCAAGCTCAAGCTGAATTTTTTTTTTAAAGTTTCAGTCACAACTGTTCACCTGTTTCTGAATGAAGTTAGGGAAAAATGTTTTGTTATGATAAAATTCTGGTGACCTTTAATTTGAGAAGCTCTAGAGGCTTTGGCATAGGGACTTGAAATTCAGCAGGGAGTGGCCTCTGTGTCAGAGAGGTACCTTTTGCCATGACCGTGAAAATACACCCACATTTGGCCAAGTTACAAGCCTTTGAAAAATTTCAGTTTGCACATGCTCAGTGGAGACTTGGGAGTTTCATGACAGTTTTTTGAAGATTCCATCCATACACTGAGCTGAAGGGGCCAAGCAGGACTTTCCCTGCAATTGCTGGTCCTAGCTGCTATGGGGTCAGGGTGGGGCACTGCAATTGAGAGCAGGAAAACTCTCTCTTGTGGTCTCAATGCTCCCCTGGCTGGCACCCAGGCTTGTGGAGAAGGAAGACACCTGACAGACACTAATACAGAAGAACAAAAGCCAGGGGGTTGGGGTGGGGTGGGGAGGAGAGTGGGAGAAGGGAACAGGACAGGATCAAGGACTGGGATTTCCTGGGCAGGGGGACAGGAGCCAGCAGGAATACAGAGACTGAACAGGGAGACTGGGCAAGGAATCAGACATGGGGAGAAGAGGAGACAGATCTGATGACAAAAAAGAGGTGTGGGGGAGAACTATGTCTAGTGGGGAAAAAGACAAGGAGCTAGGGACAGGGTAGACTGTGACAAAGCTGGCCAGAATGGAGGTGGGGAGACAAACTGGATAATGAGCCCAGAGAGGAAGACTGGGACTGGGAACCACGGGGGGGATGGGGAAAGAGGGACTCAGACAGAGTGGAGATGGGGAGATTAGGACTGGGATGAGAAACTTGAGGAGTGGAGACTTGCACTGCCTAAGCAAGGAGACAGGACTGGAACAGAGACAGGTTGGAGGAGATGGGATAAGAAGTGTCATGTTTGAGCGGGAATAGGCAGAAATGTCTGAGTCCACTAAAGCACACTCCCATCCAGCATCTGCAATCGAACCTAGTATTCCTGAGTCTGATCATTCTTCTGCTGCCAGCAAATATCTATGAAACCCATTGGCAAAGTGACCAACCCCTCCTCTAGTACTCGTTCACAGAGACTGACAACCTACTTCTGCTATCAGTTAATCTGTTAGCTCAGGTAGCAGAGGCCTGTGGATTGGAACCTGATGACCCATGTGGGTGAGTCCATATGATGCCACATAATAGAAATTGTTTTTTTTGTGTGTAGTACATATCATACACCCCCCCAAAAAAATTCAGAAAAAGATGTCAGGAAAGCCTGTACCTAGTTTAAAGTAAAAGTTAAAGTGCTCTAGAACATGACCCAGACTACAGTAACTTTAATGAGGCAGAGTAAGTCTGTGGAACTCAGAAGTGATATGGCAGGACAAAGAATCCCTCCATCCCAAACTCTGTCTCCACTATGAGTGGTGCACATGCCTCTCCCTCAGGATGTCACAGATCACGTAGCATTCCAGACTAACTTGTAGAGAGATGCTGAAAGAGGGACACTGGAGATCTGTATTAATATGATGGAGGGGGACAAAAAAGCAGGAACCCAAGTATGGAGGAATGAAATCCTTAACTTCATTTCATAAGAATTTAGAAAGACAAATGAAAAAAAATCACTTACTTATAATTAAGATAGGTTTGTGGATTTTTGACAATGTAGCGAGCTCTTCGTCCAACAGAATGAGAAGTTTTATCTAAAGATTCTTCAAAGCTGGCATGCATGATATCTCGGACAACCTGCCATGGAACAAACGGTCCTTTCACCTGGATCAAATACAAAAAGAAAGTCAAAGCTCAGCTTACTTTGACCTGCAGGTATGCAAGTTACGGCCGGCACTAGCAACAACCACGAGAAAAAAGGCTGTGATCCTTTCCTGCATGCCCCTCCGCACACATTTATAACTGTCAAAGACATTCATCTTTGCTGCTGGGATTTCCCATGTTTGCTCTGTTCCTAAAAGTGAAATCAGGTCTGGAAATTTTGAGCACAACCCCTTCAGCCATTTGTGAGATATGGAAGGGTACAACAGTTTACTTTTCCCCACTTAAAGTACAGGCTAGGACTATAAAATATATCATAAGAGGGGCTAGTAGCACTTCCTATTAAGATCACTCCATACTTCTTCTTATAAGACTCTGTTTTCAGTTGCTTATAACTTTGCCACTTTGTTTCAGCTGAAATTTTCTATGCTCGGTGTTTGCCTCTGGGGGGAAATTTCAGCCAAAATCATGTAGCTGTTTCTGGGAATGAGTCTAGAGAAAAACAGGTCGTTTTGCCCATGTTAAAGAATTTTGCTCACCTCTTCTTTGAATAGCTCTAGCATGCCCATTCTTTGGAGTAGTGACTTGAAATATGGCAGGGGGTGACAACTGCACCAGAGATCTGTCTTTTCCTGTCCTGTAAAAATCCACCCACATTTATCCAAGTTATAAGCCTCTGAAAAATTGCAATTTGCACATGCCCAGTAGACACTTGAGGGATTTTAGCCGCTAAAATCCCCAAAGATCTCATCTGCACTGAGCATGCTCCTGCCCAGAGCTGAGAAGGACTTTCTCTGAAATTGGAGCTCTGAGTGCTGCAGGCTATGCGAAGTCTGGACACCTGAAATGAAAACAAGGAGTGTCTTTCTCCTGTGCTCTCCATGACTGAGCCCAGGCAGAGTTGAAGAGGAAACTGTCTGATTTGAATGCAGAAGGGACAAGAGCCAGACCCATGGAAGGGATGGATGAGTAAACTAGGATAAGGAGCCTTTGAGGGGAAGAAAAGGGGGAATTGTATATCAGTACAAACCAAAGCTTTGTTTAATGACAGCTAAAGTTGCTTCAGGACACGTCCCATCCACCCATACTACAGAAGCATGGGAATAAGAAACTAAGAAAAATCTCCTGCATTCCTTTCTACCTTCACCTCACTTGCAATTCTGTCAGTAACAACCTTCCACTTACATCTGAAACACATTACAATAAGCAATATGTACCTCAAACGACATCCAACTCATGAGCGAACATAAAAGCTTGTTAGTGACCTCATACTCTTGTCTCAGATTGGCACATCCGACTGGCACACATCCTATTCACTTGGAAAATTATCCCCCCTTAACACTGAAGATTCATCACTAAGTTGTTTTGTGTTGAAAGTTTTAGCATTGGCCCCAACATCATATACTACAAAAGGACAATAATTTCATATTTCATCCTGCTTTTCAAAAGAGATCCAAAAAAAAAGGTAAGAGTGCAGACTTTATCTTATGGTGCTTTTTGGTACAGGCATAGCTAAGCTCAGATTTCCCCCTTCCACGTACCCTAGAAAATTCAAACCGCTTTACAATCTACAATCAGCATTTTAAATTAATCCTACAATTCAAATCACACAATACTTTGGAAACCTTTGTCACCTCCATGAACATACAAGTTTGGAGCAGGCCTAATTGTGTGTTGCTTCCACTCCCCCATAATACAGAGGGATACGGCAATGGCATACTAGTACTACTGCACACACGTTCAGTAGAGAAGTAATAAGAAGCGAGCACCTTTGTGTTTAGCACATTACTGGCGATCCGACATAGCATGAGCAGGCTGTCTTCTTGCACAGTCCAGGTGACACGTAGGCGCGTCATTCTCAGCAGGGCGCTCTGGTCAGCCTCATCATGGTAGCGCAGCTTTTTATTTTTTTCTACAGACTCCTCTAAACACAAACCCAAAGAGAGACAATTATACTAACAGTGTTTCTAGCAAGGCCTTTATACTTATTGATTTGCTTTGCTAATAGCTAGAGGCTCATTGTGCTAAGTACGGTATAAACATAGTCCTGGTGCTGAACAGTTTACAGTCTAAACAGGCAAGACAGACAAAAGGTGGGAAAATGAAAGCATTAGCCCTATTTTATAGGCAGAGAATTGCGGCACAGAGGGACTAAATGACTTAGTCTGCGCAGTGTTTCTGCCTGCTCCCAAAACATGACTTCTATTATTTATTTGAGGTAGTGCCCACCACGTGCAAGGTGCTCAGGAAAGTGTCCCCTTCCCAGAAGCTCAAACTGAGAATTTGATTGAACATCTAATTGTAAATAATTTGTCTGACAAAGTTAACAATTTCAGTGATGAAGGGCCTCATGGCATCCATCTCTAGATTATGATTAATTCTTGGCGCTGCCACTGACCTGCTCTGTGACCTTGGACAAGTCTCTTGACCAGTCCATGCCTCTGTTTTCCCATCCTTGATGATAAACAATTTGGGACAGAAATTGTCTTTTACTATGTGTGTGCAGAATGCCTAGCAGAATGGGACCCTGATCTCACTTGGGATCTGCAAGTGTTACCGTAACATACATAACATTAATAAGGGGGCGGGGGGTGAGTGAAGGATGACAAAAGGGAGGAAGGTTGAGGGGTTTTAGACAATGAGACAGATTAGCATTGTTGGGGTGAAGAAGAGCTCCTATTTCACAGTGCCAGCGTTTTGGAAAAATACTGGCAAGATGATGAGTAGAGAAGAGGTGAAAGAGGACAAGGGAGAAGTAGTCAGCAGGATTAGAGAGGAAGAGCAAATCAATTTAATGTTGTGAGTCAGCACAGTATGGTGGCCTTTTCCAAAGGGGCTCAACAAAGCACCAACAGCGATGGGAACAACTATGGCTGGGAATCCAAGGGATGGACAGTGGTCTCATTAGCATAGGACACAGGAAAGCTGAAAGTAGAGACCACGGAGCTAATAAGGGGAGGGATGTCAGGTGGAAAGGTGGGGGCTGAATGTAGCAGTGAAGCCAGAACATGAGATATTGAAAAAGGAAGTGATGGTTGGAGAGGCAGAATTCAGAGATGGAGACATCAGGAAGAGAGGTTATTAAAGACCAAAAGTGCAAGGAAGTAATGAGACAGAGTGGAAGAGACACCCCAAAGCTATCAAAGTAGGATGTTGAGAGGAAATGAGAGGTAATGAAGTCAGACTGATCAGCACTAGGAAATTAAAATTGTTCCTGAGAAGGGTAGGAGATAGAGAGCCAGGCAGCAATCAGCAAGAGGAGATGGGGGCTAAGTTCTCTTTTAGCTGCCTGGCTACGCAGCAGGCTATCAAGGGCCACACAGGCACGCAGCCATAGGGCCTGGACTGGAGAGGTGCCTCTCCCTGGCCCCGAGATGCTGCAGTGAGAAAGGGCTGGGGGGAATCCTCTCTCACCGCTGCAGCCCTAGGGCAGCCTGCACCCTGAACCCCTCATCCCCAACCCCATCCCAGAGCCCACACCCCCAGTCAGAGCCCTCACCCCCCCGCACTCCAAGCCTCTGCCCCAGCCCTGAGCCCCCTCCCACACTCCAAACCCCTTGGCCCCACCCCCGCCACACATCACCTCCATATTGGTGCACATAACAAAATTCATTCCGCACATGGATGTAAAAAATTAGAGGGAACATTGGCTGGGGGCAAGAGGGGCTTTAGATAACAGCCACTCAAATGGAAAGGGAGAGAAGAGCTGGATAGAGTGGTTTTCAGAGAGGAGCCCGGTGTCACCAGCACAACCTTCAGGATAGGAAGGAGAGCGCACAGACTTAGAGGGAGAATGTGGTATATCAAGGCAAGTTTATAAACAAGAATTAAGATTCCAGGGAGTAGGAGGGAAAGGAAGAAGAGGAGGAAGGAGTGCTGAGGGGAAGGAGGCAGCAAAGAAAGGGGTTGGAAGGTTTGTTAGAATGAAAAAGTGGAGGTAGGAGAGGAGACACTGAGACAACAGGGGTGAGAAAGTAAAGTCCATGAAAGTCAGTGAAGAAGTGTTGGTGATGCCCACAATGTGGGGAGGAGGGAGGAGGAGAGTGACAGGAAGAGTGAAGGCCAGAAGCCAGGAAAAGATTTCTACAGAAAGCAAACTGACTGCCCTGTGGCTCTCCATGGGAGAGAGCTCCGAGCTGGGACACACCAAGGGTGACTGCAAAGCTGTGGTGCAACCACAGCAGTGGCCAATGGGGCCCAGACTGGGATCTGTGATTCTGCAGCTAGTATGAACGGCGATACAAATCTGTAAGTGCATGCAGCTAAAGGACAGTGATCCAGGATGCTGCTATGCTTCCCCAAAGCCAGCACACAGCCCTATGGCACTGATAGCTTTCTGTTCACCAGGAGGGCAACCCAAGGAAATGGCCAATGAAAGCTTTTGGTTACACAAAAGCTCAGAGTCACCACAGCTCCTCTGAAGTGATGCCACAGCCTGCAGACTGCTCAAAACAAAGCTTCTCTTCCTGACAAACATGCTACTTATTTACCTCTCTTTTTCTTCTTTGGCTTCTTCCCAGTGTCTTTCTTAAGCCTCTTACGTTTCTGGCTTTTTCCACCCCTCACTCTCTTGGTTCTATTCTGCGTTGCTTCTTTATCAATCTCAATACATTCTTCCTTCTGCACAGGGGACTTCGCGCCTTCCCTTGCATCTCGCAAAATGTTTATTTTATTACCTACATAGAAGTACATTTACACCAGTGTAATTTTATAGCAAAATATGCAATGCAATGTTAAGCAATCAAAAGTCAAAATACAAAGTTACATGAGAATATACCACCCAAACTTTGCCCCCTTCTGTATATACATTATCAGTGTAGTCATGTAATCATGTATTATTTCTCAAAGACAACACAACAATAGGATTTTCCCCATGTTTAGATATCCGTATCCCTAAGGAAACATATGATCATGTAGCTGAAGACTGCAATGTGTTGCACATGTTAAATACAAGAGGGCAGTTAAAATTTTACATTCAACCTTAGGTTTAACATTTCCTTACTGTGGTGCTTTACTAGGCAAGCTTAATATTACTGTAGCTCTATTGCATTTAATTTCTTCCAACTTATTGGGAATTAAAATCAAACCAAATTTGAAGAAAATAGTTTGGTAGTTTCAAAGTTACTAACTTTTGAAATCAGCAAGTGAACCACCTTATCTCAATTTAGTGTTAAATAAAAAAAGATTCCACTAGACAATTTAAAAAAGTTAACAATAAAAACACCCACGCTGCACAGATTCTCTTCAAACATGGCTTGCAGTTTATATATTTCAATGAGCTCTACAAAACAAGACAAATATGAAGAAAACTTGGAACTTGGCAGGTTTTAAAGTTTTGAATATTAAAATTCATCAGGACCATCATTTTCATCAAAATTCATCATTTTTAAAAGCTTCCTAATTGCATTTTGCCATTAGTCTACAGACGGACTAAAGAGTCAACTGTTCATATGTAGAAAGTCATTTTCAAAAACTCCTAACTTTGGTTAAAAACAAAAAATTAATATTCTTTAAACTAAGCAGAGGGACCTCAATAAGGAAAAAATTTCAGCCACAAAAGACTGATGTTTTAGAAAAGTATGAAAATGTGAAAACTGTTTTATGTTCTAGGGGGGAGGGATAGCTCAGTGGTTTGAGCACTGGCCTGCTAAACCCAGGGTTGTGAGTTCAATCCTTGAGGGGGCCATTTAGGGATCTGGGGCAAAAATCTGTCTGGGGCTTAGTCCTGCTTTGAGCAGGGGGGTGGACTAGATGACCTCCTGAGGTCCCTTCCAACCCAAATAGTCTATGATTCTAATTTATCACAGTGGGAAGTATAAGACGCCTGATACAATTATGGCTACAGTAGAAAGATCTGAAACAGCATCTGGCTTGTCAGTCATGTATAATGTGTGTCTGTCTGGCCTTTCTGCAAGCTGTGCTTCTGAGACTCTCCAGGATGAAGTACAAATGACCAAATACGGTCACACACATCCAGAAATAGGAAAGAAAGTTAAACTATTTCACTGTTCCAGTAATGACCTAGAATGTCTCGTATTATGGGAGAAGTGAGAAGAACTGATATAATCACTGTGGGTTTAAGAAAGAGGATCATAGTTCTAATGCAATTACAAATGTTATATGCACCATTATGTTACCTCCAGTACTGAGTGGAAGGGGGTGTTTTGTTAAGAAAGTCTGGAGTCTCACTGTAAGTCCATTTTCAGGAACGGCACTTTCCTAAAACCAACAAAACATCCACTGAGATAAGATGTAAGCACCAAGGAGTACACACTCTAATATTAATACATCCAAGAAATTTCTGAGAGAAGAATGTGTTGTGGACAGTTTTCAGAAAGATTTTTAATATACGCAGTAGAAAGACTGCTGGCATGAGTCAAGGTTGATCTAGTAATATACTCACTACTAAATATATGGATAGTTTAAAAACATTTCTTAAGTTGCACTAAAGCCACC